TCCTCTTCGACCCGGGGAAACTGAACGTAGTCGAGTGCGACTTTCTGTATAAATTGCCGAACGAAGATAGATGATCGCGCACGCGACGCATAGACTTCCGTGACTAAGCGACGTCTCGAGATTCAACGATCTAACGTTTGCCACGACGAAATCGTTGTCTAAAAGAAAATCTGGAAATCGAATGGTCGGTTCTTAAGGGTCAACTGTAGTGCTTTACCTCACTGGCAATTCAACTCCCTAGTTGAATTTACTAAGCTTTAGCCAATTTTTTTATTTTTATCATATAAAATTTCAATTTTTCCAGTTATACCATCCATTACCCTTTATAGATATTCGATATTTGAAAAGACTAAAAAAGTGGTCGAAAAAAACTGCAGTCTACATCCTAAAGGTAAAGTAACCCTTCGGTCAGAAAGTTATTAAAGTGTCACATATCTGAAAATTTAATTAAAAAGTACCTATTAGATTAAATATAAAATATTTGAGTTTTTTACATATACTGGTGCAATGTTAAATCAGCAAAATGTTCCCGTTGCAAAGTACAGTTACTATAAAACTTTGCCCTTCGATAATGTGTTAAGCTCGTAATTACATTCGTAATGTAATTACATTCGCATTTGGAAAGACATTCATTGAAAATGAAACAGAGATAAAAATACCACGCGAAAGTGGATTAAATAAATTACCTTCAAAAATCTAACAATCGTGAATTTATTTTAAAACAATGTATTCACATTTCAAGAAGATCACTGCTTTGTAGTTTTTATTTAATAAAAATCTTGAATAAATAGAGAACGAAGTAGATCTGGATATTTCATATAAAATCTTTTTGATATGGTCTCTGTACGAAGATTTCACAAATAATGGACGTTGATTTAATATTGCATTTTCGTTGATTTTCTAGGGATATGGAATATAGATTCTTTACATAAACAGATATTATGAGTTTAAATGATGAAGCAGATTCGTAGAAAGGATCGATTAAACGATTGAATTCAACGAGCAAATTGGGAATTAAATTCTGTGGTTCTGTAAATGTAAAATTAAATTTACGCTTTGTACCATGAATATTGTATTACCATCTGTAAATATTTTAAGAAAACATGGACTGTAATTTAATCCAAATTTTCGTATGAAAATTCGTGCCAAGTTAATACGACGAGAAAAGCACTTAAGTAACAAAACTAATAATTTTCACTGTGATCTTTCCAAATTTGACGTTCCAATTTCTATATAACATAATCAAGTAAACTCGTAGATACATGGTGGAGCAAATAAGCAAAACGGTCTCCTAAAAATATCGTTTTATCGGGAACCGACAATCCAATAACATCGTGATTGAACGGTTCACGAAAATGTTCGTCTATAGAGTTACGAAGGCGACATGTACGCTTCGATGCGATAAATTTCCTTTATACGCCGCCTCGATAGGTAAAAACGGTCATGAGCATAAGTTATGGGTACTTGAAAACCGCGTATCTTAAGTGGAGGGTCCCGTGAACGCTTGGCTCACCGAATTTTTCGACGAGCATCCTCGAGGATAAGGGATCACCTAATTCAAAATAAAATTTCCCAACAATCGGGAATCAACAAAAATCCTACCAACTTAGCGTAATTCTAAAAAACCTCGAAAGTAATAATTTCACAAAATTATACTAAAATTATTGCTTTTGAAATTCCCATTGTTTGGACATTTTCACGTCGATCTATGTTACTAAAATGTAAATACTTATTATCTTTCATTGTTCCAAAAATATTCCCATTTAATTTCGTCGGTCTGTAAAAACGAAGATTCAATGATAATATTACCGCAGACATAATGAAGGAAGTACCTTGATTCCAGAATACAATAACAAAGCTCGTTGAAGGCGAAACAATTGGTCTCGAGCTTTCCACGTCGTTTCTCTCGTTCAAAAATGAACCTTCTCTTGCCATAGAATCGTGGAAGTAATGTAATTTTACAGTATTTCAGCGATGAATGAAGCGCACGCAAGACAGGTATTCTTCCTCGTATTTGTCCCAAACCCTGCAGTTATTAACATTAGTTTCCTTCCTGTATTTCTGGTTGCAATTTCTGCTGCTTTACGCGCAACCAGCACGCATTTGCCTCTGCTGATGATTATTATTCTAATTAATAAGATTTTGGAATATTCGAGGATTCCAAGTGAATAGACATAACAATTATATTGTTTTTTAAATTAATATCAAAATTAAGGAGGAAAATGAAAAATATTATAAATTATTAATTGAATATTTTTCTTTGTATTAACTGTATTCTGTACATGTCCAAAACATTTCATTTCCTTCAAATTCTGGAGAATAGTCGTTAGAATTGCACGATCGGACTCGAAGAACCCTCGAACAATAACATCGATCGATATTGGCTATAATTGCTGTGCGCTCAACACTTGACCCCCATGCGCGTGTACCAGACTGTTTACGGGTACACGCACGCATCGTTGGGTCGAAGGGGAAAGTAAAAGTAGCAGGAAATTGCATTAGAAGGGCACGCACCGTCTCCCTTTTCCTGTTTCTCATTCCCTCGTTCATTGTATACACGGTAACAGGTAGAGTTGCAAGGTCGTCTAGCATTTCGAAGGTCTCTCGCCGCTAGGGTAATGAAAAGTAATATCCACCCCTTTCAGTCATCACCCTGAACACCTATACACCTTTAACGATACCTTGTGCACCTGTTCAGTGGCGTAGAGACTTGTAAAATTTTTTCATGTCGCCCATGATCTGGGTTTCAACACGAGTATGCTATTTATTTTGTGGTTCTCTCCATGGTCCGTGCTCCTGAAATTAAATATCCTTACGGAGCAAGTTACCTATCCATTATGAACCCGGGGTGTCTGGTTTCATTCAGATGTTCAAAATAACAGTATCGGTTACATATTTTAGTAGGAGATAGATGTATAGAGAGCATTTCGAGAAATGAAATCCTTGTCGGTCGCTGCAATCCCATTAAATTTCTGCGGTAACAAACGCGTGTTTCTACGCCAGTGCAAAGTGTGGCGGCATTGATGGTGTAACGTGCTAGCGGCACGGGTCCCTTGGTGCCCGAAATGAGAAAGAATCGACCCCAGACAGAGGAGTGGGTTACCACCCTGTGCTTCTGTAAGGTATACGCCGTCCAAGAGGTAAGGGTTCGCCCAGGGGAGTGCTTTCCAAGTGGCAGTTTCTCGAAGGAAACGATGACCTGCGAGTCGGCAGAACCTGCACAGCACCAGGCAGAAGTCTAACGGCTGCTTTCAAACATTGAAAAGCGTAATTATATATTTATGGAAAGAGGTCGTGTGTGCGCGTCACGTATTCGACATTCGATGCTATAGCGTCTGTGGAAGATAGAAACGTATTGATAATGAAGGAGGTAACAAAAACCTTCTGTAGATAATTAAATTAATTATAATTTGAAATCTGAAGTAGAGAAACATTTTATTAGATCATGGTACATTAGATAATCGATTCAAAATTAGCTAATTTGTCATTACCTAATAAAAAAAAATTTTTTTTAAATAGAAATCAAGTAACAATAGGTATTCAGTCCTCCCGTAGGTACAAATAAAAAAAGAAATAATTGCACGAAAGAAATCGAGAAAAGCAGCGATTCAAGGTACGACCGTGCAGGTATACAAAGAAATAGAAAGGCGCGTTGGGAATAGACGCGGTAATAGTAGTCGAAGTCGATGCTTGATCGTACGAAAAAGAGATAGAGACGGTCCGATGGTACGGAAGGTGTACGTTGAGGGTAGGAAACGTGCAGAGAATGTGTCGTGTCTGCCGCAAAATGTTCTGTCACGCAACTGTGTTGCATGCTGGTTGGCTCACACAAGAAACCGCTGGTTCGCACATCCAAGTGGATTTATCCGTGTAACCGTGCATCCGTGTGATACATAAAGGAGTGGTTGTGTGTAAGTACAGAGACCAGCATCGTTGCTCGGGCTATCTGCTCGCCATGGGTAACGCCACTTCGCGTGATCTCTCGGGACCGTACACCCCTTTTCCACCTTCGCTTTTCTGCACGCCGTCCACTGGCCTGTACCAACGTCAGATAAACCGCTTATTTTATTCATAAACCCACAACGTGAAATCAATATTGCATCAACGTGTGCGAGCACATAAGGTAGGAAACGTTGGAACGAGAGAGAGAGACTGGCAATATGGTCGTCCTCTCTGACGAGGATCAGAGAATGCGGGCGATGGACGGTTTAACTCAAACCATACCCCCTCACGGTTATTCCAGCCCTCTCTCTCACTCTCTGTTTCGAACCCTTCCGTCTGCGTCTCTGATCCGCCATCCGACCGTTCCTCTACCTCGTCATACCTAACGTGGTGGAATGTGGAATGAAATTAGTCCTTAGCCCCCGTCTGATGCGGTGGAACGCGATGTCCGTTCCTATGACGAGACGTTCACAGCCAGACCATGGTATCCCAGTATGTGACGAAGTGTACAGAAACACATCTTCTCGCCGATATAAATGTCATCGAAAGGGATGATGCTTTGACAGTGTATATCGTGCCGTGTTCGAAGGCACCTCGTGCCACAGACGCGTTCACGCCAGACGATTATACTATTTTTTCTTTTTTTTTTTTTTTTTCTTTTTCATCTTTCTCCCTATGCGACACGTCAAATAACGTTGAAACGTTGTCGAGGGATCGAGGGGGAAAATGTTCCGTCGTTTCTTTCACGAGTCGCGTTGGAAATATCGCGTAGGAAAATCGTGCATTTTCGAACGGTGTGAAAAATTGAAATCGCGCGAGATAGAATTTTGGCTGAAAGATCAGGCAGATCCTACCAAAATTTTCCGCGATGAGAACTCGAGGTAGTTTTAGTATGTTGGAACGACAAATACGTGTCTAACGATCCAAGTCGAATCGTATCTAGGAGTTAGTGTAAGAAACGTAAGTTCTCCGGTGGCTGAAACGGGCCGGAAGCCACGAACGCCGGATCGAAGGGGTAAATTTTCCTTGGTCTTTAACAAACGTCTCTAATGTTTCAGGTAATACAGGGTAACACGAACACGTATTTGGAGTCCAAGCACGAGCTGGAGCCACCTCTGTGGGCGAGCAAGATCCGTTTTCTGCCCTACAGCCATCACACGCGGACGGTTTGCATGCGGGTCGAGCTGTACGGATGTTACTGGAGCGGTAAGCTGTTTGCATTCTCCAATTTTCGTTGAACTTGCCGCCGCTTAGAATACTCAACGGGCTGTCCATTAACCCTTATACCGTTGTCATGTGCGCAAATTTGCTTTTCAGAATCTTGCTTGTGCAATTATCTCTTTCATCCTTTGATGAATCAACATCGAATTAAACGTTTAACCAAACGGAAACTACTGTACATACTAAAGTACCATCGGGTACCACTGTTGTACGTCAACCACGTGTGTTGGTGCTATTAATGGAGTAATCAAATCTTTTGGAAGAATTTGAAATTTCCTAATCTGCCTTTCTTACCTCAATTGTCTTAATGCTTTCATTTATTTTCTTATTTTTCTGAAATCACTAAATTATTTTTTAATTATTTCTAAATTCAACCATGTAAATCTGGCTTTATTTGCCTGGTAGTCATATTGATGTTCATTGACAATATCATAAGCTTTCACAGCAGTGATCAGAAAGTGAATACCTAACAATGACTGTTCGCTTTGATCTGACCGCAGATGGTGTGGTATCCTATTCGATGCCCCAAGGTGATAAAAGGGGTAATGGATGGGAGTTCTTCGATGCCACCTACGATGGACACTGGGACGGTGAGCTGCGTCGTGGCCTGGGTCAGTTGACAGACGGCAGGACTGGTCCTGATAACTTTAAAATGGGATATTATGATAACGATCGTAACCAGGGATGGGTCGGTTGGAGGAACGATACACGTGGACAGCCGGTCGAGATCAAGTTCGAATTCGACAAGGTCAGAGAATTCTCGGCCATTCATATCTACTGCAACAACCAGTTCACCAAGGATGTTCAGGTAGGTTATTAATTATCCTTAGGTTATTTCAGATCATTAGTCAATTCTTTATTGATGGATTATTGTAGTTTTGTTTGATTTTTTACTTCTATCAAGAGTATCACTTGGAATCTAGAGGTTCCAAAGATTATCACTCTTTTTGAGACACCCTGTATGTTATCGAAGGTAGAATGCGTGCTTCATATTTTTTTACCAGGTTTAACCCTTTGGGGATGGAGCGTTCTTAAGAGTTCTTTGCACAGAGTATTATTAATTTAAAATAAAAGAAATAATTTACTGTCTACACTTACAGCTGTGTTTTATATCAAATTTTCTACAAAATTCAAAATTACCATGACAATTATGTTTAGGCACAAATATGCCTAAGTATGTCGATCGTCCGCAAAGAGTTAATTTACGCCATCGTGACACATTGATAAACGAATTAGAAATGGAAAGATAGCTCTGTCAGAAATTTAACATGGACCGCGTGTTCTCAAATACTATCATGTTAAAAGTATCGGATTCCTCTATCCCTTACAACCCTACAGTTACGGAAACGAAGATAAAGATCGAATCAGGGGAGGGTAGGTTTCACATCTAATTACGTATCCACGCCTCTGCCAACGTAAATACAAGGGAAGCGACGAATCGTTTACCCTCGCTTTGGCGACGTTATTTCTCAGCTCCCGCAAGGAATGCGCAAGCAGCGCTGATCAACAGGCTCACCATCTACGGTTGTTCGAGATCCTTTTACCATCACCTCCTTCTGGCCTGATCGTCGCGTAGCCTCTCTCCAACGAAACGATGCTTTTCCCTATCCCCCACAGTTGATTGAATATTCCAGTCGACGCTTTATCAGCCAGACGCCGGCTGAATATAAATACAATCCGAAACGGTAATTCCTGCCAGTTCGATATCTTCCGATACGACTTATTGGCCAGATCGAAGGATATCACTTAGAAATAGAATGATCATGGTTATTACGGTACAGTCAGTCCTCTGGGCAACATCGGTGATGGGATATTTCGAGGAGTGTTATAAAAAGTTACTTGTTTCATTTTTTTTTTTTTTTATTATGAAGAACAGTTCATCTACTTGGTACTAATTTATATGTTTTTCATTTAAATTCTATTTCATTTGAATACAATATTGGTAAAATGATAATATTTCCCGTTTCAACTCTTTCTCGTTAAGCTTCACTTCCTCCGTTTTAAAGATAGAATTCTTTTATATTACGTATTGTAATGTTGAATAAATATCCATTAACAACGTCGCGATTTAAAACATACTCGCTCGGCAAAATAATGTGAAGCGGCAGTTAATAATTCAGTCCCGTTTCCAAATGCCATGCATTCGCGACGAGCCCAGAGGGGAAAGGAAAGTTTTATTTAATTCGTCCACGAGCCGTTAATTGGAAAAATACGCGAGGCATTAAATACACTCCTGACGATATTAAAAACATTCACCGGCGGTTCAGTTTCTCTTTAATTTTTTTTTTTTTTTTTTTTTTTAATTAAGGTAAATCCAGACATCTAATTCGCGGTTGAGAGATGGAAAAATGGATGTTGGTCGCGATTCGTTACAAGCTTTACGCGTCATTCGTTGCAAACGTAATGGTCGGTCGTCGAGCGAGCGAGCGGAAATGAGTTCGCGTTATTCGGGGCATTCTTCGTCCCAACGGCGGACAATAATTCGATCCCCTTGTATAATTTCCGTTTCGCAGCGATTTCGCGACCCTTCCGCGTCGTTCGCGTTAACTTCGATAATGTAATGCAAATACATCCGCTCGCTTTCAACCCCTCCCGTTAGCGTTTCGATACCGGCACGATATACAAGCGGTCGAACGCGGCTCGCATGCGAAATCGTCCCGACGATGGAATTATTTCCGCCCGCGGAATAAAACTCACCGATTGCCGGATCAAACGTCAGATTTATACGCGATTTCCAGCTTTTGTTTTCGATCTAACGCTTTGAGCATGAACCGATCGCCGCGGGAGGAACAGAGCGGAACGACGAGAAATCATTTCACGAAGAAGTGAATTAAAAAGTGGTTATAAGATGAGATCAATTGTGGTCGAATGGAGATATTGATGAACTGTGCAGTTTGTTTCGTCTCGTTTCTTTCCATTTCTGTTAGATAAAAATTAGCTCAATAATTAGCTCGAATTTGGTCACTGATTTAATACTTCTATTACTACTTCTATTATTTCAAAGCGAATAATCACGGAATTCAGTGGTCCAATCGTTATTTTCCGCTTTCAAAAAACATATCCTTTCCCAGAAAAATATATTGTTTCAATGTTCGTTGCACGAGAAACTCTTCTATTGTAGGATGTTTGTATTGTTGCTTTGTATTTTGAATTGCAACGAGTAATCGTTATAAAAGTGCATGCAGTTGAAGCATGCTAGTGTCACATTTTACAAGGTGCACTTCGTTCTCTTTTCACATTTTATTTTCAATCTAAAATTCACACTTTATTGTGTGTATTTCTAACAAAATTAGAAGTTGCATTTCGTTCTCTTCTCACGTTTCAGTTTCAATCTAAAATTACGTATATTTCTAACAAAGTTAAATTTCTTTTCTTAATTTTACTAATATTCAATTGTCACGCTTTTTATGGGCATAACAACGTATGAAATTTTTCAAGTTCATTGATTCAATATCCGATACGCTATCCATATATGTCCACGTGAATTATCAGCGTGAAATATTCTCGAGCTACAATTATCGAAATGATTTTTTGATGAACGCGAACACGCGGATCTCTGATTAACATTATACAGTTTCGTCGTATGATTTAGCCTTATTGATTGAAAGCCGAGCGCATCCCTCTACCCTCGATGCAAGCTATCGTTGGAAACGCGCGAAACACTGGGAACGCTTTTATCCAAATCAAAATTCGGCCACTCCCCATTTATGGTACTGTTCAATAATCGTCCATGCATATTTCACCGCACGCACGGCCAAATCTTTAAATGCACTATAACGTCGGGCGAAACACTCGCGCGAGTTTAAAGCGGATTTGTGCTACCGGCATCATCCCCTAACGCGCGGCCACGACAAATGATCCAGTCTGTTATTATTAATACCTTCGCGGACGAGGATTTATTTTCTAATACCAAAAACTAATTAAAACTAAGTATCGCAGACTTTTCTTATTAATCTCTGCGCTGAAATATCAAAATTTTTTTCATATTACCAATTTTTCTTTTATAATATCGAATTAACAGACCCGGAACGTTTCGTTGAAATAAATAACACCGTTTAATTGAAACGTTCGATCTGTCGGCAGTCGATGTGGAACACGAGAACAGTCTATATTTTTCGGTATCAGCGATTTCACGGCCGACCACGATCAAGCTGACGATATTTTATTCCCTTGCGATTGTCGGATGGAGGAAAAATCATCGGGACGTTTCGACGTTTTTTCGAGGCAATTAATAGCCCGAAGATCGACAAACCGAGCGACGGTAACAAACAAAAATCCCGGCTCTAGTTTAGGGAAAAAAAATCCGTTAAACTGGGAAACGCAAACACCCGTTTCGCCGATGCAAAGCGCGATTCCGCTTCGTTTCAACGCTGGCCACCGAGGTCTGCCTCTAAACGACCGCAATGAGCGTTTTTTTTTTCGCCGCTCGGCCACGAAACGCGCGGTTCCGAACGAATCAAGGGCCACGGTACTCTTTTCAGTGCTTGGTAAATGTATAAAATTCCACGAAACGTGCAATAAAAAAGCGTTGTAAACAGTCGAAATAAAAATTCTCCTCTTCCGCAATCGACGTATTTGACGTAGAATTGAAATTTTCACTTGGAATGTATTCAAAGTACCAGAGGGAGAATATCGAACGGGGAGGAAGGAAGCACGCTTATAAACGCGTGGTCTTTGAGGAGTGTGTCCCTGTGAAACCGTCACGTTGCTGACCTCTTCGTGGTTGTGCTTCGAAACAGAAGCAGCGAAGCAACCGATCGTCCTCCGGATTCCCTTCCACGTCGCCAGGTTTTATACACGGAGTGACCCCGACGCTGGTTGGAGCTTTCGCAAGCTCATAAACCGGAACCCCGAAGCACAATGGCTCTGTCGGGGCTTTGCCGGTGGCACATCTTTGATATCCAAATAACGTTTTCCCCTTCGACGAAACCAGCCAACGAAACATACCGGCTATGGGCGATAATAGACTGCGATACGAAAATGCTTCACCCTTACCGTTCGAAACAACCCCGCCGAGTGTTTTGGCAGCCAAAGGGGGCGTATCTGATTCGCGGATAAAAAGGAGACGTCATCTTGAGACACGGGACGAAATTAGCTGTGATCGAGCCGGGAAAAGGGTCCTGGAAAATGGCGAACGTTTTAATTATTATTGGATTTCCAGGGTGACTCTCGTTTTCTTTAATAAGTACCAAGATACCTTCGGATAAATTTCAAACAGCCGATTAAATAAAATGAGTATAATAAAGGAAAAATTAGAGAATGAAAATTATATGAAATTGGGAATTAAATTCGAATTGTGGCTCTTTCCCTGGTCCGCCGTTCGAGGATCAAGGAAAGCATTATATTATATTTCTTATTTTTTTAGGATAACTCTATACGTTACCCTATCATTTCTACCAATTTGTAGTTTTAGGAAATACACATGCGAGTTACACGTTCTGCTTAATAAATTTTATTACTAACAAAGTTAGAGCCATTAAAAAAAAGTTCAGTGAATAAATTGACCATATCCGTAACTACCTAATATAATTGAAGAAACTTTAAAGGAAAAGTTGCAGTAATCACAGGCAAAAGCTGACCGAGTTTCGCAGTTGACCTGTCGGATGAAAGTTAAATCCTGAAGGGTGGTAAAAAAAAAAGCGTAACCCTTTAACACCTTTCGCACCGGTACTTCTTGCACAGTGGACGGAAGTTGAATGGAGAGGCTCGGTTCGATATAAAGTCACGGAATCTTGGGCATAAGTAACAAGATCACTTTGTAATTTCCTTGTGTACCCTGGGAATGTTTGACATCGCGTAATTAAATAAACGTAACGACCGAGACGTCTGCGAGTCAATTTACTTAGCCGTTCTTCGGCAGAGAGAAGAAACGAAAACGAGCAAACTCATCGCTGCGTCTGATAAGATTTTCCGCTGCGTTTCTGACAGCTTGTAAATACTTTTCCTTGCCCCTGCAAGAACCAACCCCTCGTCGCCCCCGCATTACACAGTCAAAGTGCATAAATTTCCTTGATTGCATCCCGGCTCGATGCAACTGCACGTCGGTCCCTGTTTCTCCCGTGTCAATTTTGTTTACGAATGCTCTTTCCTATGGATTCCATTTCAATTTCACCGGCCGGACGTGTACCCTTTGATGCCCGAACGGAAATCCATCCCGCATAATGCATCAGACTCGACAACCGGCTAATGAACGAAATCTGATACCTGCCACGCTGCTACTAATTATTTTAACGTAAGCCGAATCGAATCTAGTCTGTCGTAACTTTTTAATGTGCCTGATTAAACTGGCTAAACGAAAGGAATAATTAGGACAGGCTGGTACGTGTGACCGCCTAAAACTTCAAGGTGTTACAATTTACGAGGTGACATAAATTGCGACACTTCATATGTTCTTTCTCTCCTCTTTTAATATTCTCTCCTTTCAAAGGATTCATTTGATATTCTTATTTTAGTATAATTTCTAATGGAATGAAATTTCGCATTGTATCGAATTCTTTCTTTTTCCGATCGCTCTCATTAATTCTCCGGCTTCGTACATAAAAAGACTGTTATTAGGTCGTCGGAATTCTGTGCTTTCTGGGTCGGATAGCGTCGGAATCGTGTCCAATTAAAAAGCAGCCGCGAACGATCGAGAAAATCGTTGAAAGAACGGATGGAATCAAGGCACACGGGGAAAAAGCTGTAAACGAGCCGTAAAAACGCAGCCGGTGGAATCGTTGCGGAACAACTTCAAAACGTTTACACACACGGTCCCGGTGTTACGCCACCGATGGGAACGAAATAATGTTGCTCTTTGAGCGTAAGTCCCTGTTTGCGCTAAAACTGTACAGATACGTTTCAACGAAACCATTTTCCTGGTTGGTTGAAGGAGCAAAAAAGAGAGAGAGAGAGAAGAATAAAAGGTTGGCTCGGAGGTACCGGCTTCACCGAAAGCTCCATTTCTCTCCGTTGAACCGTACTGTAAAAAAGGGATTTACTTCCAGATCAGTTATTGCGCTTCATCCGGTATATTATATCGGATAAGCCGCGTGGCTTCCGTCTCTGCATCTGACTTCTGCCTCCCTCGCCACCTGTGTACGTACAGTGTTGTACACGCGCATGGCCGCGCACAACACCAGTCAACCTTTCTACACTTGTCTCGTCGAGTTTCGATCGAATACACCACCGTGTTGGCGGACTTTCGACGGTAATACTGGAGGAGAAAGGAAGCTTGAAGCCGGTGATTCTAACTGCTTACTAACCCGATTAAAAACCCTGTTAACTCTGGTTACAACCTCGAAACCCGTACTCTCGACGGGTTACACAGAGAAACTGGTTTAATCCTTTGCAACGGAATTTACTTAACAGATTCGTTACCTGAAGAAGTCGATCGTTGTGTACTGCGACGTTTAGGGGTTGACAATGGAGCATATATCGAGTGATTGGATATTCAAGATGTAGAATGAATAACTTTATATAATTTTGAGGTAAAAAGTTTGAAAAGAAAAGAGGAATGTTTACTCGATACAAAGGAATTTTATGACGATCCAAGTTGAACGATGCGATATAGGGAGAACGGGACATCGATAGCAACGGATAAACGCCTCTCCCGTCACCGGGATATCGTTTCCGACTCCCATCGGACCTGAAACGAATCTTTCGTAATTGGATTTACATGACGCGAATTACGATAACGAAATCTTCCGGAGCCGATTCGACGACGGATCCGCTCCAGATGTTACCCCGCGGTTGTGACAATGACGTTATCGACCTTCGGCTTGTACGCCCGTCGCATCCATCGAAAGAAAGTTTCCCTTCGACGGATAACTCGATAGCCGGATATTTGCTCACTGATAACGACGTACACGTGTTTGCATAGAAAAATCACCCGGAGATGATTTTGAACATTTCATTTGAGGTTCGCAATTAATGTTTCACGAGGGAGTTACAGCAGCTTTAGAAAAGTACCTTAATAATTTCTATTATTGAAAATAAAAAGTTCGAGATCCCTCGGTTTCAAGAGCTTGCTTCTTCTAATATTAAAAGGGTTCGTATTTGAAGGGATCAACTAATGGGCTAAGGAACTCGAAATATTACCCTTCCAAAGGATACCCTTTTAAGTATATAGGATGGAATTTTAAATTATCTAAAAATTTATGTGATATCGCCGGTGATCATAACGTAACAATATCAATTTATTTTTTTGTGGATGGAGTTTTCAGGTGAAATTTATTAAAACAATGTTAAAAAATCATATAACTCAATTCATTCAAATAGTATAGAAATTATTCATTGTTATTCGTCGCGAAAATTATTCCACCGTTTGTTTATCTGTTCTAAACGTTCGCGATGTCAAACAATCTGCATTATTATTCACATTGAATTTTATCTGTCGGCGACCAATCTCGGTAGAAATTCAATTTGTTCTCGGTTCGCTCGTTTTAACTTTCGCCCGACATTTTTATCAAAGCGAAACTCGCTGTCGTTTGCAGTTTTTATTCTTTCGATAGCTTCAATTTTCATCCCTCCGTCGACGCGTACGTGATATTTTTTTTTTTTATCCTTGACTTTTATGCAATACAAAATGCAGAAAAATATAATGGATCAGCTGGATCGTAAAATGCACAACACGAGAATAGAGATTATATACACGTAGTCTTGATACACTGCTTAAATAAAGCCTTTTGCGACCCCGGATAATATCCTTGATTTATGATCAGATTATATACCCTATCGAACTTCAGGGACGCATTAAACTTTTATAACATTCCCAAAAGTCGTACGACTTTCTTTTTCTCTCTCTCCTGTGCATCGTATTTTACTTTGTACTTTTAAATCTTCTAAGGCGGGAGAGGCTTTTTTCAGACGACTCTATCCATCAACGTCCTACTTCGTCTATGTTTGTTTTATTTAATGTATACGCAAGCTTGTTTAGCTTTCCACTGTGTTTTACCGCAACCACGATCAATCTCTTCGTGGTAGCCGCAAGACTGATGAAAATGGATCTTCCTTTCACTCCATTCTAGTTTAAGATTCTAGCATTTTTTGAGGTGAAACTTCTTAGGACAGTGCGAATTGATTAACCAGGAATTGGAGTGAAATGAAAAGTGAAATGCTCCCCTGTAAATATTAAGAATCCGTCCGGAAGGTCGGCGACGCACGGTGCTTATTAATGAAACTTTGCCAGCTTGTAGAGCTCGTCGAGCTGAACACGCCTATACCCCGTTTTGTGGGCAGACGGTTAATTGCTTGAAAGATATTAATAATTAAAGTTAGTTACTACTTACATTCAGAAGTATGACAGACTCACACATACAAACGGTTAATTCTGTGGTAAAACGCTTGACTCGCAATCTAAAGGTCCACGGTTCAAATCCATGATTCTCAAGTTTTTTTTTAATTATAATTTGCCTCTTTTTGAATAACTATTACAGCTGTGCTATAATCATTGCATTTATTAATAATTAATTACATACACTGCAATTTTTATAGAATTTAAGTTATTCAAAATAGAATATAGAATATTAGTTTAGAATTATATAGAATTTTAATTACTCAAAAAGAGACTAATTATCATTAAAAAAAAAGAAAAAAAAGAAAAATTGGGAACCAAGGATTCGAACCGAGGACCTTTAGATTGCGAGTCATGTGTTTAACCACGGAACGGATCCATGACTCGCAATCTGAAGGTCCTCGGTTCAAATCCTTGGTTTCCAAAAATTTTTTTTTCCTCTTATGATAATGTTTATGTAATAGTTATTCAAAAAGAGACAAATTATCATTAAAAAAAAAAAAAAAGGTTGGGAACCAAGGATTTGAACCGTGGATCTCTAGATTGCGAGTTGTATGTGTGAGTTTGTCATACTTCAGAATGTAAGGAGTATCTAACTGTAATTATTAATATCTTTTAAACAATTAGCCGTCTGCTCCCAAAAGGGAGTACAGGCGTGTTCAGCTCGACGAGTAACACTTGGGTAGTTCCCCTTGTTAGATTTTTTTAGGATTCTATGAGACTTGGAAATTTTTTCCTAAATCTTCAGGAACTTACTGCCACCATGTTCCCCCTTCGGCGACGCACGGTACTTGGACTCTGTTTCCTCTGTCTCGAGTGAAACTTGGATCACATAAAATACTTTAAAGTCATGAGTGTAATTTCTAATGTCACCTAACACAATGACCTACTAATATGGTGTTTAACCTTATGTTACAGGTGTTCTCCCATGTGGACATACTGTTCAGTATAGGAGGCAAATACTACACAGGTGAACCGATCACATACACCTACATGGAGGACAAGATTTTCGAATCATCGCGAAACATCACCATCAAACTCCATCATCGCGTAGGTAAATACGTGAAATTGAGGCTTCACTTCTCGTCCAGGTGGATCTTGATCAGTGAGGTGACGTTCGATTCTGGTGAGTGAAGAAAATTTATGTTTCCCTTAAACATTTTATAGAAATTTTCAATTTTTCATGGCAAGCGGATACGAATGGTCATTTTTCAAGTTAAGCTATCTATCTGTATGTATCTAAAAAAAGAATCTGAAAATTTCAGGCTGCGCATAGAACGGTATCGCGAATCGAGCCTCGTTTTATTATTTCATTCGTAGCTCTGGCCATATTTTTCTTCCACGCGAACAGAACCGAAGCGGCTCGATACGAATTACGAGCGTTTCGTTTCAATAGAAATCAACTTGTCCGTAGTCTGAACAGAGACACGAAGAATAACGACGTTAGACACGGGGAGAAAAAGCGCTTTATCAAACGGGAAGGTATAAAATCGTGGAGCACGTCGACGTTTCGTAGAATGTCCTCGATCTTCCTCGACTGAATACAAGTTCCGGTCCGATTTAACGCGGCATTCGATGAAAATCGTTTCAACCTTCGCACGGTATTTACGAAAGATTCTGTCTGAATAAAAAGTACCTTCGTGTAATAAGAACACGAGGTTCGAAGAAAATATTATAAAAGAAAACAAAAGAAAAGGAAGAAAGAAGAAACAAACGCGTCTGTGATTGTATAGTAGAATGCAAACTTTCGAACAATTCCTTCAAGACGATCTCTAAGAACGTCTGACAATGAGTGTTAACAGTCAAGAGGTCTCTTTAAATGATAACAGGATTTACCTTGGAACGGTGATTCGCAGCTGATTCCATTGTTTGCACCCGTTGAATCGGCTGAGCTCGTTTTTGTTTGTCGAGGCTCGAATTAGTTCATTTTGCCGAGCGATTAAATTGATGAGCTGTGTTCCGTTCGATACAGTTAAAAGGAAATCCAATTAATTCGAAGATGACGTACAGAGGCCGGGGTAGGAAGAGAAAGAAAGAGAGAAAAATAGACGGTGGACGGATTAAGCGAGCTTTGACGTTCAACGAAAACGAAAAGCGGTCAACAACAAAAATGAAACTCTTCGTTTCCAGCGAACGACCACCGGCAAGCTGTCTCTCTCTCTGAAGAAAAATTCTTTGTTAAACGTAGCGAGGGATTAAACGCAACAGTGCTCGAGTCGCCGAACAATTGAACACGAAGAGTCTGAGTCCTCGTCGTCGTAAAACCGTGTCACGAAACTCGGCTCGACTTCCAAGCTTTATCGTTTAAACCCCGAGGATGCTTTTAAATAGGCTTCAAAGACGTTGTTCGAGCGGAAGAATCGATGCATGAAAAGAGAATCAACAACGATCTTGCCAACAGCCTTTCTAGACTCTATAGAATTGTGCGTGGAACAAAGGGATTGTGCGTCTACCTGAAAGTGATCTCATCATTATTTTTTTATTAAATCATATCATTTTACAATCGTGTCGCTCGTCCAACAAACGACATTATATTTTCTTTTCATTAAGAATCGAATGAAAATGAGAATCGCGAATGACGTACGATGAAACCGAAACGGCGAACGGGCAGCATAGAAAAACAACTTATTGTTAGTATTGTGCAAGGTATTCGTGCACAAAGGACCCTTTGTCAGTGAGATTTGCCCACCTAACAACAGGTTAATAAAATGGCCGGGAAACTCTTCCAGCCTGCGTTCCGCCATCCACTTGTTTTTCCATCTCAAAGGATGTACATGGAACTGTGCAGCAGACAATTTTCCTGTCGAGTAAATAGCGGTTGGAAAAAAAACGGAAACAAAGGATGAAAACGGAATGCGCGATATTTGAATCGAAGCCTCGTATTTAGACTACCTGGCAATATATCGAAACAAGACCGGTGTCCATCGTTGAATGTCCCTTAGAAATATACAAATTCAACAATACAGACTAGTCGTTAGAAGAACGATAAAAGTTGCGAGTGTTTCACTGAATGAAAAGAAAAAGAAAAAGATGAAGAAATTCGTTAAGACTGTCGATTTAAAAAAAAGAAACAGTAATCGAGTGTTCGTAGCCCTTGGTAAATCCTTCAGAAAGATGAGAAAAAGGATTCGTTAAAAAGTTTATCGACAGTGTCTGGCCGTTTATTTCCTGGCAACTTCTTTGAAGACAATCGTTCGTCGAAGAAGAAAGCGAAGTGCCATAATGGATGCACTCGTTTCGGTTCTTTCAGCTTTCTTCCATCTCTGGCGGAGGTCCTGCGGGAATTTCAACGGTGCTCCTTCTTGTTCTACTCTTCGAAAGACGTAATTGGACAAGGAAATACGAGAAGACGGGCTGGTGGATCACCTTGCCAGGTGTATATGCTACCTCCTCCTTTCTTCTTCGCCATTCCGCCGTCGTCGTTGTAAAAATGATTCACCGTCGAGGATCGCTCATCCCATTCTGTTCTTTAAATATTCAAAATATCGTCTCCCAACGTTGATATATCGCGAGCATTTACCTCGCGTCAGACGGCGCTGCAGCTTCCCTACTTCCGCGTTATCGGCCGCCGGAAACCGCCCCGGGCGTCTTACCCTTAAGACTCCTCGCCCGTTGCGATGCTCGATTATTAATTGACAAAGAGGAATGAGGCGACTTGCGAAAAATTTTCCCTAAACTTATCTCGTTAATAATTCCATTACCGGCACACCGTTGGGACCCTCTTGCCGGGATTAACTCGCGTGGATCGAATGAAAAAGCTTACAAACATGGGGACGATATTAATCGTCGAGTCAACCCGTTCGCGAAACCGAGAACTTTGTTAGCTGCTTCGCGATGAAATATTATATTTTCTTTCGTTGAACGAATATAAATGATAATTACCGAGACGCGATAAACAAAAATCGTTTAACGATATAAAAATAACGCGAGTCGAACGCGTTAAAGAATCGATTGGCAAAGAAATCTCTGTCTCTAGTTCGAAGCACCGGAAACGTTCTTTTACCAGCCAATCTCACGGTGGCCGATTCACAATAGTACGATCGAGTCTGCGTAAAAAGCAGGTCGAACTCTATGAGCAACTCCACGTTGCGGCTCCATTTCCATTTCACAAGCGGTAAATCAAAGGGCTTTTAAAATTGTCCAGCCTCTTTTTCTTCTGTACACGAAGTCTCGGTTGCGTCGCGAGATCAAGGGAGCGCATTAGTTGCATTTGACGTCGAGCGTCAGCTGCATGTGCACGGTGCACGTGCAACGATCTTTGCGCTTCTTCGTTGTCCTCGTCGGTGACTGCGACGAGAGGATAAGATAAATAGAGAGAAGAAGATGAAAAAAAAGAGAAGAAGTAGGTACAAGAGTTCGCGAGGAAACCGCGGTAGGAAAGAAACGAGCCTCCTCGGCGAACTCCTTTTCCGTTCGCGCTTTCATTGATTTTATTTTCATTCTTGCTCTCGAAGAAAGGCATTCCAGTTGCATCTCTGACTGCACGATGATTTATACGCGGAAGATCCACCTACGTAAGTTATGGCCCACCCTTGTCGCAATCGCGCAGCATCCTGATCCGATCGTAAATCTGACTACCACTGTGCTACACTTGGGGCACGTAAGCGCGCGGAGACTCGGGCTCTGTTATTGTTTTGATGGGGAAATAATTCGCGGGACCGTTCGCGGAGGAGCCGCTATAATTAAACGGGAATTTTGCGATCGCGGCAGGTCGGAGCTACTTTCGAAAATATTTAGCCGAGCTGCAACAACGTATGGCCCGGGTTAATTCCATTCCCGCCAGCGCAAATCCTCTCTCGTTTTTGAACTGTTCGAAAGTTGCGTGTTTAACCGCGGATATTAACGTATAGACATCCATTTGGCTTTTAAGAGATTAGAGAAAGAGAACATTAGAGAAGTTGCCGAAGAGATTTCAAATGCACGATCCAACAATGGGAAATTATTTAGAAAAATTATTTATCTTCTTGTTTTAATGTCACGGATCGATGGCGAGAGAATAATTGTAGCTCTTAGAAAGGTGTAGCTGCGGATCGATGATTGGTTGCCACTCGAATCGCTCTATCTCGAGGACAATTTATCGTTTGCTGATGACAGGCCGATTAAAAAACGAATTTCCAGCCACTCTGCTACGGAAGAAGCAATTTATAGGAAATTCGATTCTGTCACGATGCTGGATTCCGCGTCGATTGATACTCCGAGTCTGAAGAGCGATATAAATTTAAAAAAAAGCCTCCGATACAAGAGCTCGCGAAACAACGTGTTTAAACGGCATTCCCGTTTTCTGGGCAACAATTAAATTCTTGTCACGGTAACGCGCGCGTGCAAAGGACTTCGAGTGTCATAATCGACATTGAGTTTCCAATTAAATTCTTTGTACAAAACACTCGTTACACGCGAAGCGTGTTGCGTTTGCACAATTCTTACGATTCGAAACGACAATGATTTCGTTTCAACCCTCGTGTTAATAATTAAAATGAGGATATTTGGAAAAAATTCAATTGTTCAAGGAATTATGTATGCAATTGTGTCTAGCAGTTTATTCGAAGAATTGCTGTCGGACGATAATTGGAAATATCCGATGCTGTTCAAAGGAATGCACGGCAACAGCTACTTTCACGAGGGAATCACATTTGCCGGTTCGCAGGATTGCCGGTTGCAAAGTGGCGAACGAACGACTCGTTCTTCGGACGGTTTCTCGTCAGCAACACCTGGAACCTGGCGTTGTTTGCATCGAAACTCATTTTCGTTAAATTGCCGGCGCGATGGCCGCGTGGCCAGCGTTGCTTCACGGAATGAGCTGCACCGTACCACCTGACGCCGTAGCCTTAGCGAAACAAAACCTCTTTTCACTGCGAAAACCCCCGTCGCGGGTCGCGCGAAGAATGTTTAATATCGGATTTCATAGGGGATGGAACGGCAAACCGGTAGACGGTTTGTCAGATACGATGGAAAGGGAACGAGCACGACGCTTGCCATACCATGTAAAAGCCGATATCAAACGCGGCAACAGCTTTGTTTCCTGCGAAATGATCCTGCCAGGAATCCGGGAAATACCGATCCTCGCGGAAAATTTTCGTGGATCGAGCCGCTTCATCGGTGAAAATTGGTCGTTCCGCGAATTGATCTTCCATTTGTTTTTGTTTCTTTTCCTATTTTCTCCATCGAAAACCACGATTTTACTGGAACGATAGACTGGTCTCGACCACGTCGCTCAGATGTCTGGAAAGGTTTCATTTAACGAAACAAACCGGGGAAATGGAATTCGCGAGTCGAATGGAGAGGGGTGTTATGAAAAGAAACGAATAAAAAGTGTTTCATCGATAGTGTATTTTTAGTAGAACTTTGGAAAGCTTTCTGATAGATGAACAAGATATAATTTGGGAAATTGATGATGGGATACTTGGCCTAATTATTAAGCCATCAGACTAACTTGTTTATTAATGAATTAATTAATCAGTTTATGGGTTGTAATTTCATTTACTAAAAATTTATATTTCCTCTTCATACATTCTTAATATAATTTTCTATCGTTCGATCAGAGATTTTGCAAATCCTCTGTATAAAAAGAAGAGCTCCTATTTATATTCACAGTCTTAATTAGAAGAGAAAATTCAGGATCGTACAATCTTCAAAGTTTTCGTCCTCGATGAAATTTTAAGTTCATCAATTACGCGGGCAAAACTAATTTCGCGCCCGGCGGCTCCCTTTACACGGTGGTATGAATTATTTGAATAACAAACGAGATAAAAGGATAAGAGAAACGCGTGTGCCATTTCTCGCGTCAAGAATATTCGTTCGAGAGCCGCGTGCTTCGTTTAATTGTTGTGACAGCGCGAAACGCGAGCGAGTTCTGTCGCACCTTTGCAGCGGGGAAAAAAGAAGAGAAATAAAAGTAGTCGGAACATTTTCGTTCCGCTGTTTCGCTCTTCAAAAGCGAAGCTTCGTCGTGTTACCGGTTCGAGTGTAACCGGAAATTACTAAAAACTCCCGCGTCGACGATACGGGAGCGCGAGGGATTCGAAGAACAGAACGGTAATTAGACAACTGGATCGTTCAGTCGCGTTTCAATCAGGCAAATGGAAATATTTCCACCGGAAAGCTGTGCAATTTTTCCATCGAAACGCATATAGGTTAATTATACGCTCTACATCCACTCGAGTACCTTCTTTCCGTTTAATGATTCTGCGTTTACTCACTGGTTCGTGCGTTAATAGTTTTCTGCCCCGAATGTTCCTTGTCAACAACAAACTTCAACTCTTTGCATGAATTATTTTTCAAAACCTTCGTATTAAAATGCTGAAGAAGTAACCATAATGATTTTGAGATTTCTCAAGAAGGTACCACACATTTCTACGGTGCGAATTTTGTAAAACAATTTTATGACATAAAGGTATCAAGAAATAACACTTGTGATAAATTAATTTAAAGCTTAATGTTTATTGAAAATGACTGTACAAAGGTTTGGTAAATATAATAATTGCGGTTCGATTGTTTCGGGACAGACGTGGCTCACGGTAACTTCACGCCCGAGGAAGCACCGACAACCGAGTCACCTATTCAGAGCGACGTCTTCGTGGAGAAAAACGGTGCCGCGGAGGGTGAACTTCCGGTCTCGACAGCGAAGCACGACGACCCGACGTACATGGCGGTCGTGATCGGCGTGCTAACCGCCGTGATCCTTCTGCTCGCCGTGGCGATATTTCTGATTGTCTCGAGGCATAGGCAACGCAAGTGTTTCGCAAGTCCCATGACCGGCAAGGCGCCATCTCATCTTGGATCTACCTGTGCTACCGTGGAAAAAGGAGCTGCATTGATGGCGTATACCTTGGAGGACGACGAAAGGTATCCCCCCATTACTATTTTATCATTGGAATTACATTTTACAAATATTTAATGCTACATCCCATACGATACCAAGTTAGGATCGTAGGAGACGATGTAGACACATAGGATTTATGTTATTATTAATAATATTAGCTTTCAAAATAGACTTATTTTTAAATTGAAAATAATGTTGAAAATTAAATAGATAAAAGATGAAACATAATTTAATGTATACATCCATTCTTTATTTCGACAATGAAATTTATAATTTAAAATAAGAAACTTGAAACCAGTCATTTTAACTGGTTTGGTAGTTCTAGTGTTAAGAATACATCAGTATTTACAGATTTTGCCGCCAATGTAATAATATTTACGAATGGTTGGCATGAAAATTTTATTTTTTTCATCTGTGTCTACTTTATTTTATAACATTTAATCCTTATCACTCCCACCGGCAGTAATGCTGTCAACCTTAAGCCAGCGTTCTTAATATTCTTGGAGTGATAAGGGATAATAGAAAATGAAGTCGGAGTTCAAAATGGCTCACAATTTCATTCACAGTTTCTAAACTATTTTATCTTTCAAGCATGATGGTCAACGTGTTAACTAAACTACTTCTTGCACGGTACACTGACCAGTATATCAGTAAGAAAATAGTTATTTCGTATTAGACGAGTCGTAAAACCGTCCTCTATGAAAATGTTCCAATAACCGGGAGAGCCGGGAAACATCCCTCTCTAACTTTACAACCATTCACGGTGCTCCATGACGACGGAAGCCACCTTCCAATAAACTTTCCATCCGTCGTGCTCGTTAGTGGATGTCCAATAACGTCCAATAACGGACATCCTCGGGCAATATATCGAGTTTGTATGGCACGAATGTCTCCAGACTAGATCCTCGAGCCATCGTAACTTGGCCGCGACCTGCACGTTTCAACAGTGATCTTCAACCTTGTTACCGCTTTGTGCAACCCGATATTACCGTTCACCAACAGAAGGTCCCGCAACAGGAACATGTTACAGGCACTTCGAGTACGTTTTACCACCCCTTTCATCGAACATTCGACGCTCACTTCAGCTGTGCTACCAGCGAGAAAAAACGTATCCACTCGAGCAACGATGCGTTTCCATCGTTACGAAAGATGCTTTAAAGTTACCATATTCTTTCTCACCGTTCTCGTTAACATACCAGTACACTTGGACGTATGGCCTTTGTACACAACTACCGTCATTCTCTCTTTTTAACGCCTCGTAAATCGTCACACGGTACAAGTATCAGTAAATTCCACGGTGATCTATGTTCGACCTAGCGTCGACTTTACTACTTGCACTGTATATTTCAGTTATTACCAGGCATCAGTTTTAGGAGAAAATGAAACTACTGTTGTTTTTAAACGCTTTCCTAAATATCAGTACATTCTACGGGGCTTCACATCAGCCTTAAGAAAATGAATTCGTCCTTCCTTGATTAAAGGATCGTACGAGAAATATCCAAAGAAAGCTGGGATATTTCCTATGGTCATTAATCCCATCGCAATTCCATGCGTTCCCATCGCCAAAGCGTAATCCTCCCGAGATCAAGGTCTAGACGAATCCTATTTTTTTTCCTGTTGCAAGATACGCCGGCGGTTCGTTACCGACGCTGCCACGGGACCTGGGGAACCGTCTTTTGGACATCGTAAAGCTCGACGACTATCAAGAACCGTACCAGGCATTAAAGTACGCGCCGTACTACAGCTACAGCACCGTCGTTATGGAGATGAAAGACATGATGCTGAACAACAAGGGCAGCAACATCAATCACTCAGGTATGCCGTTCCCGAACACACGGTTGCACCGCGTTGTTTTGCGTGCACACGTGCGTGCGCCGGGTATATTTATACCCGGGACACATTAAACGGCCGGTACGAGCCTCTACCGGGTACACGTACGTATGTACCAAACAACAAAGCATTCGCCTGACCGCAATCAATACACCGTTCAGCCAAGCCCTCTCCACCTGCTCCTCTGTTCAACGCCCGTTCCTCCTTTGCTATATCATCCACAGCGGTGTACGCGAACGGTGCAGTTGACACATCGTACGATTATGCGGTACCGGAACTCGGCACGGTCCCCCTGCTCAACCAGGACGGCACAGGACGAGCGGCTGCCGTTTCCACCGGAACCACCGACCAGGACAGCATCTTCTCCAAGACTTCCTCTCGCAGCAGTAAGACGGAAAATAAGAAGGTACGTTTCCTTTTCTAACGGTTGCTCAATGTTTTACGAGGTGGAAATTTTCTAAGACACTCGGCAGATCTTGGTGTTCCTTACTCGTGAGAGAGCTCTGATAATTCTGAAAAATACTTCTTTTCCGTGTTCCAGTAATTGAGTATTATAAATTAAAAATTAAGGATATTTTAAAATTTTAATTATAAAAGTAGAATTTAAAATTGAAATTATTTAATTATAATAACAATTTTAGATAAAATCAGTTGAAATACATTCGTCGTTTCGGGAAATCTTTTAAGTAACAGGGAATGATAAATGTCACTATTAATAAATAATCGTAATTTTTAATGGAGAGAAGTAAACAAACGAAGGTCGAGAGCGTAGGAATTCAAGCGTATTATCGTGGAGTGTATAAATAATGGCCACCCTTGGTCCAGAATGTACTTGTATCCCTGCAGTAACCATTAAACGTGCACTCCATTCGTCGAGGGAAAGTTCGCAATTAATAATTTAAATCAATATGGCGGAACGAGTGCAGACCATTTGGGGTAGATATACCTCCCGTGGGTACAGTATAACGTAGCTCGTATCCGGAATACCAGAATGCGGTGCCAGGATCCTGCGGGGTGGATAGAAAAAACGAGAGAAAAAGAGGAACGAAAAGGGGGTAAAAAGCGGAGGAGGTACGCACCGTCGACGTCAAACGCGCGAGACGTTCCCTAGGGTTCTCTTTTAGCATAAAAAATCATCGGATCGCGACTAAAGGTCAATATAAAAGCTTTGGATCGATAACGGTGAGCTTTTTCTTCGAATTGCCTAATAATTTGATGGAATACTGCCAATAGTATTCATACGATGTGTGATTAAAAATTGATTAGATATGGAAAAAGCGATTGCGTGTAATTATAAATTTACAATGATACAGAAGACAGAAAATTCCGTTATCAATTTAAAATAGACACAAGTGATTGAATATTGGATATTCACTAATGGACAATTTTAGATTGAAAATTGGTTAATCTATTATTCGTTCCAACGAAGAACGACCCATTTTGTACTATGAATATTAATGAGACAATTATATTGTCATTTTCATCAAATTTTAAGCATCAAATTCATAGGGTAAAAATGCCATTTTGTTATACTTTTATGTCATCAATTCACATCAGATTATAAATCACTACTTTTTAATTTATTCACTTTTTTATTAAAAGAAACTTATAACTTTCGTATTTTTGAACAAATTTCATTTCACACGAATAGGTAGTATTGCGTGCAAAGGGAAAAAATCAAGTTTGCACAGTCAATAGAACCAAGTCATTCATATTTCTTCCTGTTTTCGAAACTTGGAATTTATCGATATTGCTTTCGACAATCCTCGCGGCGATATATTGAAAAACTTCATTCAACATCCGAATACAAACAATACGTTCCTGTGTATACAACAAACAGGAAAGGATCAATACAAGATACTAATCCATTCAATTATTCCAATCTTTCGAATCAAAGAATCGAACTTCCTTAATGAATTCACTAATATTAATTAACGCCATCATTACTGATTCTAAGGGTCCAACCAAAAAGGGCAAAATCGCTAGAAGCTACGTACAGATATAACACAAAAGGGTTATTCGTTGCCAAACAGAATAAAGTGTCGCGTGTTCGACAACGTTTCCGCCCAATCTGCAGAATCATTCGATTGATCGGTTCGTCGACGTATAAACGAACTGCCGTCAACGGGCTGCGTCGAACCCTTTCGCGAATACCCTCGGAACAACCCTCGTGGAATGTATCATCATTACGCGGTCCGGTGGCTTCCGGGCCAGTTCGCTCTGTTAATTGCGGAGAGAAAGCGCGTCGTGTAATCACGTTTGCAATCCTATCTCCCCGTGGCCACCCCTTCGCACTGTCTCTGTCTTTCCATCCCGTTCACCCCGTCCCCCTCCCCGTCTCTGTCGACCAGCGCGTGCCGACATCGCAGAAATATTACACAGGATGAGAGGGTTGATTCGGCAACCTGCACCTAAATCGTACCGCTGCGATCTGCCGGAATAAAAATACGCCGCTCGAAATTTGTAGCTCGCCAGTGATTTATTTCTACCAGCCAGAACGTACCAGACCATAGACGGAACAACCCCTCTACGCACGGATGTGTATTTTTTCGAGAATCTCTCCGGTGAAACGAGAACACGTACGTTTCATTGAATGTTGGACGACATTGTCGGTCACCCTTAAATTGATATCTTTGATGCGGAGGGAGAAGAATGGACCGAAGGGTGAATGGATTCGTATCTGGGTTTGTCGGTCGAATTCTACGTTCATTGATCCTCTGTTCACTGATTGATTAATTCCCAAATTTAAGCTTTCAATTTGATACCCTACTTATTAATCAAAATTTGGTTCATCTTCTTTTTTCCTCATAATTTAATTGTATGAAATTTGAGAGTAATCAACGTGTCAATGTTTCCATATTTTAAATGCAACGTTTCAATAATTTCTATCGCAATTTTAGGAAAATTTTGTAACAGAATATCATCGATCCTTGAATTAGATATTTTCTGAACATCGACGGTCATTTAACGTTTCACTGATACCAAGACGCGAACGTTTGCTATCGGATAGAGCGATCCCGCAAGCGATTGCACGATTTCCGCGGATGTGCAGTCAGATTGATTCGAGCACAATGCCGTGAAAGTGGTCGTCTACGTCGGGACGTCTGTCAGTGATTGACAGCCGACAGGGCGCCACTCGAAACAGTCAAAACATTTCGGGACGACGTGTCGAGTCTGGCCTTGACGCATCGTAGCGACGCCAATCATTGTCCCCGTGTGATCCGTCATTAGATCGGAACGGATGTCCTTCGAAAACACACCGGATAGGGTAGTTATCGGTGGCTGCAGTTTTACAATGAACCCTGTCGAAAGTTATACCCCAGTCACGTGCAACTGGTCCTTTGCTCGCTCGATCTACGACCTCCATTTTATTGTTTCATTCCAATTCGAACGTTCCGACAGGGTGAAGAGGATTCGTGGTGCACGAGTGATGGACGGAATTATTTCAAGTACACTCTCGTTCAAAAGTTTCAGGAAGATCCAAAAGGTATAATAAAAATATTTAGTGTAGGATAGGAGAGAAAAAGGTGTTCCGTCTCGGGATCGTCTGTCAGAGTCGTCAGTGGGGCTGTCAACAGACGATCCCTGCCCCAGACACCTATCATACCGCAATTCGGAACTCCTATACATTCTAACTGCATGCCAGGTGACCGCCAGCGAGAACACTGTCATCTCGCCGCCACCTAGCGGTCCCCGGCCCGAACCAAAGGCATCCATGATGACGAAACCCTCTCCCACCTCCAATAAACGCCTACATTAGATGATTTTTAACAGGAATTTTGAATGGTGTCGAACAGCAAAATCAATATTGCAGAGGGAATTTATAGCAGCAATTTTGCCACTTAAATTATTGTAAATCTATTGGAACGGTGCTATGTATCACGGTGAATTTACGAGCCCGGGCATCGTCGAATAATTCATCCATTGACTGACCATCGCGAACCCTGAAATACCCCCACGCTGCGATGGTTGCCGCGGTTAGCGTGATCATAGATCGTTGATTATATCGAGCTGACGCATTGTTCTTTCCTTGTTTCAGTCGCCGACTCAACAGGAGGTACTTTCGGCCCTGAAGAGACGTCTGGAGCAGACGAGCGTACCGCTCTTCCCACGGCATCGCCTCCGCATGCTCTCGAAACTTGCCGAAGGGGCCTTTGGAACGGTAACGACATTGTTATTACCTTCGAGCACATACATCTATTTAAAATTAGACACGCTGATAAAATACCGTGACCGATCATTCGTCCCTGACGTCCACTTTGACGACGAATTATTACATCCCTTTTTGAACTTTATTACACCCCTGAAATTATTTCTCTTTTCGATCGAGTCAATGTTTGCCAACTAGAGTACCATTTTATATACAGAAACATCACTGTATCAACTCGAGCACTCTCCTCATGCAAATTACCGAAATTAATAATCTTGCAAGGTTATTACCATCGTAACATCAAACTCTCTGCCTCAAGCTCATCCCTTAACGTTTTGATAACCCAGTCGCAGCCGGGTGAAGTATCGTTTTACCTCGCTAATTCGTAGCACAGTGAAACAGCACGAAGCCAGAGAGTGTTAAATTACAAACAACCGATATTGCGAACGGACTAGGCGATGGTATCGCGAGTAGTCGAGCGACAAACGACAGAGAAATCGTAGCAGCATCGATTCCGCATCGATTCGCAAACGTACCGCACCCCGGCTTTCCTTGATCAACGACTACATACTAGAGAGTAACAGAGAGAGAGAGAGAGAGAAATCAATCCGTTTGTTGGCCGTACGCGGGCAATTCGCCACCGGCTGTTCGCAACAATACGTCGATTAACGAAGTGTCCACCCTGTTATTCTTCCCGTCACAATAGCGCCTCGTCTGGCTCGTCGAGGATAATCAGTTTAGAATGCGTTGGAGCGGCTAATAATTCCCTTTTGTTTCCTATTCGGCCGACGGCACGCCCATTAATGACCGGTCCAAGAGACGGGTCGCGTACTCTGTTTCGGCTGCATCAGCCACCGTGCGACATCCGTTACGTTCATCATCCGCGTCGACCTTCGTCAATCTTCATCGCGGATCGATCGCGAAATTAATCCGTGGATCGATCAGCATCGGGATACCAGGGAAAATTGCAAAATTCCAAACGGAGGATTATGTCGGCACGAGGAATACGCTCGCCGGGGATAGTCGTGCTCGCTAGTCGTTTATCTGACTTCCTGTCCGGCTTCCCGCAGCCAGCGAGCACCTTCCACCGATGAATACACCTGTCCCGCGCGAAAGTTAGGCGATAAATTTGCCAGCGACGAATAATCAAATTCAAGGATCATCCATTCTCGTTAGACGAATTTATGGCTGTACCAAGGCATCCTTCCTCGATCAACACGCAACCTAACGCAAAGTTTTTCTTTATTATTTCAAAAGCGATTCCCTTCTAACTTGAACGAATTATGTCTATAAAGGTGTACGTGGCAGAAGCCGAAGGGATACCGGAGTACGGATCGACCACCACCGTTGGCAAGCGTCTCGTCGCCGTCAAATTTTTACTGCCCGAAGCCAGCGAGAAGGAAAAGTGAGTATATATCTATATGTGTATGTGTGTGTGCGTATTATATACGCTTGCGCAATTTGCATTCCGTTTCGTCGTTACAACGCTCGATCGAGCCACCGCTACGTCCTGGTCGCCTTGTTCCTCCGCTATATCCAGGCGATAACCATTTTGCACCGGTAAAGAACGTTCGGTTACGCGGCGCGTGATTTTACGGGAGATCTGGCAAAAATGGACCCCGACACCATGCGAACCGATTGTTGGAAGAGAACGATAGCTGCACGGACGATAGTTGAGAACGATTTAGTTTCATCCCTTCGTGTATTCCATTTACAATCGACCAGAAATGTATTGGTACATTTTCGTTCGTTGTTAAATATAAATTCCTTAGGGCACCTATGATTTTTTCGATAGTTACCTCAGTCAGAGGAAAAATGAAATATCTCTATATAGCAAATTATAATTAAAATTTCACTCAAAATTCATCCATACTAAAAGTACCAACCAAATTGAACACATTTTAACTGTAAGTTACGTCACGAATGTGACACGATATTATAAGGCAAGGAGTTAATATTAATTTTTACCAAATTCTGAGCAAATTAGTAATGTCATCTGCACGAATTTTGTCGGATAATAGTACAAAGAAACGAGAACACGACGGTTGAAAAAGAGCCTTGGACTGCAGTAGGGTTGAAAACGGGGAACGTTTCTCCCCGAGGAAACATCATTCCTCGATATCGAGGCTAACTGCGACCCGCACAATGGCCAACGAACATAATGCAACCGAATCGAATCTATTTCACTAGGTCGTGATACGGAACGTAACCGAGAGATCGTCCTCCCCGAACGTTTCCGAGCCGTGCATAAAATTCATAGTACAAGACGGTCCTTTTCGAATGTCCTGGTTTCTTTCCCGAATACCGGGCCAAGTTTCCGTGGCCATAGAGGAAAGCCCGGGGCGGTGAAACGTCCGGATATGTACCAACGAAGACGATCGTTCCCGCGGCTATCAAGCTAGACATCAGAAAAAGGCCAGTTCGATTTCACGAATGGAATAGATTTGCATACAATGACCGGGGAGATAGGGTATCGAGAGGTTCGGCTGTTCGTGGCGACGCGAAAGAGGATTCCGGGGGGGGGATTCCAGGACGAGAGAATCCTTCGAAACAGATGACAAAGCTTCCGTACGACGAAAATCGCCGACCGTTCATCGCAGTGCTTCCCAAAGTGATACCTCCCCTTTGTGAAATGATTCATGAGGGGTAGCTTCAGGTGCAATTAGGGGTGTAAATTTGTCATTGCGTCTTTCTGTTTGTTCGCTTAAACAAAGATCTTCAAGGGGGTGCCGAGTAATTTTTTATCTGAAAAAGGAGCTAAATTAGTTTGGGAACCTCTGGTCCATCGAATATCGTAACAACAAAGGCTTTCGTGAATATTGAAGAAGCAAGAATTTCAAAATAAATTGGGTCAAATGGGAAAATATGAAGATCAAAAGAATATTATAATACTTTTCGACACGAGTAATTATCCGGTAATTCGGTACGACAGCAAACGCGTTCCGTTCGAGATTGCTTCTTACAGTTTAATATAACCAAAGCGAATTTCTCTGCTTTTAACTTGCAATAAGGTAAAAGTGGTCGATTAGCCGGCAGGTTACTTCAACATCGTAAAGCACGTGCCCCGAACGTCGTTGAACGCGTTCGAAGGCTATTTTATATGCATATTCCAACACCGTCGAGAATAGATTTCGTTATCTCGAAAGAAATATGGATTGCACCGTTTGAAATATGTATTTCCATTAAGTTTTGAAATTGTACGGTGCAGCGGGTTTTCTGCTACAAAGGATGTGCTACTTTTTCAAATGAAACCCTTCTGTTTGACGAGGAATTTGTGCGATACTTGGAACAATATTTTTTCAACTTGTCTTAAGAAATCTTCTTATTAAAAAGAATTACGCGTTCCATTTAGACGAGCCAAGAGAGTCTTAATATTTCATTAAGTTAATGAAGATTCTTTCATTCGACAAACTTCCACGTGAAACTTTTTTAAAAGGATTATAAATTAAATGAAACGCTTAAATGTAAACCGAACTTCGATCGAAACGAGTATAATTCTCTCGGTATATCTCTTTAAAAATGATATTCGCTTTAAGGAATCAGTGAATAACGATTTTCGGATTATTTAATAGGGAATTCTCACGGGGTCGATCGCCGTTGACCCGATAACTTTCGAAACTCTCCCGGGTAACTTAATCAGATGTAACGCGTTTCATGATTTATCGCGTGATACAATCGTTTCCGTTAGCCCGGCTAACTCCTACTCTTGCGTTTCATCGTGATTTGTTGTAAATATCAGTGTTTTTCGTGGGCCACGATTCACGTACTACCATAAATAAAAAGCGAAACGATCTCCGATCCTTGGTTTCCACAGTTCCTCGGCGTCTGCTCACGCAACAAGTCTCCCGCCGTGAGGATGACTTATCGCGTCCCTTATCGTGATACCAGCTTGCTCCATTTCCTTTTCCACCTTCCTGGATCCACGCGATTCCTCGTCACGATAAAAGAATCCTTTTCTTCGACTCGCGATTCGCGATCTTACGTCCGCGAACACCTGGAACTTGTTCTTTGTAATTTAATGGTAAAGGAAAATCGTGATCCTTTATATAATTTTACATATATTCAATAAATATATTCCATTGTACGAATCTCTCTCATATATGATAAATGACGATATTTCTCTATTTATCATGGAACCGAACGAACGAAATCGGCCGTATGATCAATAAACGACTCGCATTCACTACAGAGCCCCGTTCAATATGAACAAAGAATATTTTACTCGTTATACCCGATATCAGGGATATTGACTCGTGGCCGCGCGTTTTGTTCGAAATAACGCTAAATAACGAGCCGACTAACGTTCGCCCGATGAAAACAACGTACACTTCGTTCCGTATTGACTGGTGCTTTTGCCGTTAACAATTACCGATTTTTTTTTTTTCCACGGGTATATTTAATTTCAACCTCATGGCGCGGAACAGTGCTTTCAATGTAGATCCTCGTCGAAACAAACAACACCGGTTTACAGTTGTTTCGTTCGCCCGATGAAATCTCGTTTCTGGAAATGGAATTTTTTAGCTTTAATTTCGAGTTTTGCTTCGTGTACCACGAATTTACAGGGGGAGGGCAGCGATGTTCCGTGCGTTTCGATTTTTCCAACGTCCGTGCATCCAAGCTCGCCTCATTACCTGCCCATGAATATTCATTCGAGAAATTAATTGTGTCGCTCGGTATTAATGAAATTGATAAAACGGCATGGATCATCGGTACCGTGCCATTAGATAAGAAACGAAAAGGCAATCAAGGAATTGCAATTATCTCGATTCAACATCCTAAGGGTTTTGTCGCCCACACGGATGCAAAGATGCGACCACGGTACGCAGCAGAATTCAAAGTTTATGGGGAATCGATACGAGCCCCGTAGTTTTGTTAACGGTCGCATTAAGCTATCGCGAGAGAGGTGCCATTACCGAAGTCGATCGTAAGTAAGGCAGCAAGTAACGATGCTGCAAGGAAACGCGTCTTGTTACTACGCGTGTATACTCTTCAAAGGCAAAGTTTCCTTTTACACCGACTCGGCCCTTCTTCGGCGAGAATGTAAACGAAGCGTCGAAACTTTGCTCGAAAATCTTATGATTATTCGAGGCAGCGAACATCGTACGGTCGAGCGGGGCTCCATTTGCCAGGACAATTTTCTACTTTTATCACGTCGATGTAAAATTTGACGCTGGTCATGGTTTCTTTTACTTCTGTTCGTTTACATGAAATGAAAACATTCGTGAAATTCATGAGAATTTTGATACCTTGAAATTTACCATTCGATATGGAAAAACTCAATGAAATTTCAGCTTGGTTTTTCTATAAAAATTATAATGGGGTTACGAATCTGTTAAGGTTGGATTTTCAACGAGACGTGAGGATCCTGGCAGCCCTGGAGGACCGCAATATCGCGCGAGTCCTGGGAGCCTGCTGTCGCGAGGAACCATACTGCGTTGTGATGGAGTACCTGGAACACGGGGATCTCTGTCAGTTCCTGAAAACTCATATCACTGCTGATGATGCTCATTCCATGCCGATCGGCGTTAAAACACTCAGGTAACTATCTACTTCTTCCTTTATCAAACAAATAAATTAATCATTTGACAGAGCTGAAATTATTTTTATGAACAAGGTAATTAGTACTGTAGGTGTCTTCCCTTATTAATCCTATTGCAATCGAAATCTACCCTTTCCTATTCGTACAACGATTATTGAATCAGCCCGTACAATGAAAAGCAACGAAGCGTCGATGGAGAAACGTAGCAGGTCTCGCACGAAACGGCGCGTGAAAATTAATCAAACGCAAGAATTTCGATAATTCCCCTGTGAAACAACGGTCGTGTTCATCAGCGGAGCTGGAGATTTAGTTTCATCCGCTGTGGCAAGGCGTCGCGAAGTTAACACCCAATAAGTTTCTACGGTGGCAAAGTTTGAAGCGTTTATTAATCGCGAGCGACATAGTCTCAGCGCAACGAAGCAAACCCTCCTTTTCGCGTTCCGTCGTTTCCACGACCCCTGTGCTCGTCTCTTTGGCCACCCTTTGCTATCCTCTTTTATCAACCCCAAACCCTCTAGAAAAGCTGCAGTCTCGCGCGTTAACTTTGTCCTCTCTCATACAACTCCGCCTCGTTTCCTCGTTTCAGTTTCAACTGTCTCATCTACATGGCGGCTCAGATCGCATCGGGCATGCGGTACCTGGAGAATCTGAACTTTGTTCACCGGGATCTGGCTACTAGGTGAGTACCGTTCAAGTTCCATCGTACCAATCCGCCGGATCTCTCTTTCCCACGAGGATAAACGTGTCTTAGCGTAGCGCATCCAAACTATCATCGTTACCTTCGTCGCCCAGATGTTTTGTCGGTGTTATAAGAGATAGAGAAACAAGGAAAAGGGAATATCGTTTTTACTTCTCATCCAGGGAACATTAACGCGAGGGAAAAGTAAAGGATGCTTTTTGAATCTCAAGTGGCGGATGGTAAAATTTCAAATTCGCTACTTCGAATTTGCTTAATTTCTATCGATGCGACATTTAGGTCACCGCCGTTTCAGGGTTAATACATTGGATGCATCTAGGTCGAAGGGAAAAGGATTTTATAAATTTTGCTTTATTCGATCGAAATTTCACTTTGAATATCCAGAAACTCGTCTGCTATTTGATGGATGTGCATTTATTTGAAATTTTCATCCGCGCAGGTAGATCACAAGTATCCTTTGACGAAAAGTATCGTTCTTCGGGATGTTATAAACAGCCATTAAAGGGAAGAGAAAGTTCGGTATCGTGTTTCTCCGTGGCACGGTTAAGTTGAAATTAAATTATAACCTTCCCCGGGTACATTTCCATAAGCCCCAAAAACAAACGGAGCCGCGAAACCACACGGGAAATCAGCGATTCGTTGGTGATCCGTCGAGCGGAAAACAGCAAGAACGGTAGCTTATTTTCGCTTAGAATAACGATTAAACCCGTGTACCTTGCAGTCGTTATCGACTGTTCGTTAACATCAGAAACGTTTGCTCGGCTTTATTGCGAACCGTGAATTATTCCGGAAGCCGTGCTCGTTGAATTTCGTGTAAGTTGAATTCGTGCAACCAACGAGGAATTATCTGATCGCGAGCTCGAATCCTTCTCGTAAAAGCTACGAGAACAGAATTACATCCAATTTGATAGGAAGGTTCGATAAACTTTTGTAGAGTGTACAAGCGTGCCGTTTCGAAAGAGAATTTTCCTAGGGTAATACGGGAGACATTTCCAATTCTATGATACAATTTTCTTTCGATCCATTTATCCTACCGTTCAATTTTCCTGTTATTGTTGCTTCTACCGTACGATGTAACCATCGTACCATCGTAACCATCGAATTTCTTAAATAATTAATCATACACTGATAATACATTGCAGATCTCTTCGAAATGAAATTGCACGAATTAATTGAAACCGGTGCTGTTCGGTATAATCGAATGATCTTTGATATCTGACGCAAGGCGTACAACATCCAGTATCAGGAACCCTTGACATTCGTAGACAAAAGCGTGTACATGCAACGAAAGCTATCCACGTTCCTGTTATTGAAATGCAATGGCTATACCCGTCGAATCGATGGGAAGTATAGATGCACGTATGTACATATGTGCTCCACATACATATTCACGGTAACCGCGGTGCTCTTACAACACGTGGAACCTAGTTTCCGGTTGACCAGTGCCTCTCAAACGACCGCTCGTAAATCTTAATAGAATACCGGAATGCGCTTCCTGTGTGCTTGCCGTCGGTATTATTACGTCAGTACACGTGCCTCCAAATGCCTGTAGGACGATTTAAATCGCCGATTGCATCTCGATCTATGACATCGTCTAGAAGCAACGGACTATCTGAAATTACCTTTTATCGTTGACAAATGTAAGAAGATTTATTCGATTCCTTGGGAAATTTAATCACATCTAGGTAAACCTTTGTTTATATAGATATTTTTTAATTCACGACGTTTCTGAAAAATTGGCTCATTCTTTATAATTTAGTTACCAAACAGTTTCACGACGTTCGATGGTTGTTCTGTCATTTCTAAATTGTAAAACTGGTTATATCAGTTGTTTAGAAACATTCACAGAAATCAAGGCTTTATAACGTTAAAGTTAGTTCGGTTTGAAACGACCGTACGAATGATTCAGAAAATGTTTTCATAATTTTCACGACGCTTCGGGTAATCCTTTGTTAATTTAAAACAAAAGTTTTCCCACTGTAAAATTACAATCGCAATTGCTTTTATCTCGGTTTTATTAAATCTCTGTGATATTCCGTTGGCTTTTATACAATATTCGTGTTTACGAATGAATTTTTATAATTGAACGAATAATCAACAACATTTCACAAGCCTATGTTATTTAACAGCATTTCAGATAAATATTTCAAAGATCGTCGAATTTTTCACGGTACGATTTATCTGTTCTCTAATTTCAACTAAAAATCGGTTAATAATTGTTCAAAAATTAAGGAAAATCGTTATCGTGTCGTTCAAAATGGAACGCCGCAACCAAGTTAAATTCGTGATTCCATGATGGAAGCGCGTTCGATCCCCGAGAATCGGTAACGAGCCATCGGCACAGGCGTCGACGAAAATATTTAGTCGGCTTTCATCGGCCTCATCGAGTAACCGAACGACCTGTTGTCGCGCGGGTGCAACTGGAGAGCAGCCGCAAATCCATTTTCAAAGGAATCAGAATTTCACGATGGCACGGAATTTAATCAAAATGTAATGTCATGGGTAAACGTTACACTCGATGATACGTGTCGACGTGACAAACTGACGATTTCCCGGGAAACACACGGTTCTCTAACTATTTCACCGCGACTCGTAAATTCTTTCGTTCGCGTAGGCGACGAAAGAGAAACATGAATCGTCCTCGATGTATCGTACGAACATGACCCGTTTTGTCCACGCAATTTGTCCAGGAATGAAAATTACACTGGCGTCATCGTTTACGCTTATTGAATGTAATCGTGAGAAATAAATTGTCTTTTGTACAATTAAGTTCAACCTACGATTAAGAAAACAAGTTCAATTTTTTCTTTATCGTCCAAGAAAATAAGATTATTAATATTTTAATAGACGTAACAAAATTGCCATTTACCATTTTAACTCTGTTTTACAATTTATAACTTTCTCCATCATTTTTCACCAGGAATCCACATTTCTTCCTCCCAAAAAATCATTTTTGTCACTTGCATCGTTCACTGTTTCAACCGGTGAATTTAATCGAACGGATTGAATATCGAAAGTACAAAACGGAAACGAATCAATTGAAAGGATTGAAAATACGTGTGTATCGTCTGTGTCGAAGGTTTTCCGCAAGCCTGGCCTCCTAACGTTCGCCAGCCAATTTCTCTTGGCACCTTATTTTATTCGCGAGTGAGCGCCGTATAAAGTCATTCTCAGAACCGGACCGAGTGGAAAAGAGGAAAGAATCGATTGCTGATCAAACGGTAATGCAATTCAATTGGCTCGAGCGACGAAAGAAGCAGAACGACCGGAAGGGTTCACCTTCTGTGTGTGGGTGTACGCGCGTGTTTGCGATGACCGAGAAAAAGAAAAGGATCTGCGTGTGATCGGGCGTAAGGGTACACGAACAATACACTACAAGAACACTTAAGAATAGAAAGAAAGGCGATTGAAGGAACAGACAGACACTAGTAGTACATGTACAATACCATCCATAAGTATTTGGACGTTTGGTAGAACCAGAATAATGAAAACCACCCCTAATAAATGAACAAATTTAAATTTCTTACGTAATAATATAAATTATTCATCTTTTATATTAAAATAATTTAAATGAACCAGTGAATTGCCTGGTCCATTTCCTATCAACTTCTCATATTACTCGTAACGTATAATAAATAACATTTATATTGAAAAATTTTATTCAAAATATATTTCATATTTTTCCAATTATACGGAGGTGGCCAAATACTTACAGACAATAGTGTACACGCATACTCAGTAACGTCGAGTGTAATAGAAGTGATAGCAAGGATGGTGGTGGTGTTAGCAGAAACGATGATAGTGGTCTGGCACACACCGCAAGAACGTGTACCCCGACCATGGAGAACGACGAAGACTCAATGTAGGTACTCTACCCTTCGACTAAGCGAGGCTGCCTTTGTTCCGACTTCGATTACAAATGTAGAGAATGGCTTTCTCTGCCTCCCACTACCCACTGCCGCCCTTTTCTTCTATTCCTTTCTTTTTTTTCCCTTTTTTTTTCCTTTTTTTTCAGATCGTTCGCCTCCCTTCCCTCCATTCTTCACGACAAGCGCACCTCCTTACCTACGTTTCAATCTAACGTCGAGGCATCGTGAGGTCGATAGTCCTGCAAAACCTCGTTCCCCCCGAAACCCTTGGCCGACCTAAACTCTCCTTCTAACGTATCATTGAAGACACTTGAACGCAGGTGACAATCGATAATGGTCGTACAAGTGACTCTTCTCCGGGTTGTCGGATAAAAGAGGATGCTCTCTGTCTTCGGGATGAAGTCTACGAGTCTATCAATATCAAGAATGAATTGTTTCGCTGGTCTTGGGAATTCTTGGGATATTTCAAACTAGTAGAATCACTCGACGCTGTTTAAAAAGCAAGATTAGAGAATTAATTCATAGCTATATGAATAATTTCGATATCATAGTAGAATTAAATTTGGTTAACTTATACTGACATGAGACGTCTGAGTAATTCTGGATTCTTCTACTAATTCATGACATAAAAGTATCGTAAAATAACACTTGTGATACACCAATTTAAAGCTTGAGGTTTCCTGAATATGAGGACATAAAGGTTTCATTAATATTCTCAATACAAAATGGCTCATTTTGCGTTAGAATAAATACTTGATATTGTCCATTGCTCAGTTTTCAACGAAGAACCAGCCATTTTGTATTACGAATATCGATGAAGCATTTATGTAATAATTTTCTTGAAACTTTAAGCTTTAAATTGATGTGCCATACATGGTATTTCGAAATACTTTTATGTCATGAAATCTTGTCAGACTACTAACGGAAAATAATTAGCAGCAGAATAGATTACATTGAAATTAGGATATTGATGATTGGAGGTTTGGTTCATTTAGCGTTACCTATCGTCGCCCCTCCCTAAATCCAATTACAAGCGAGTCAAACATACTGGTATCCAGAGATAGACGCTTCCACTTAATATAATTCACACAGAAGCTCAATAGGACCTGTCGAGTGAACATTGCTTATTGCATTAACGTTCTGACCCGGGACTTCGGTGGATCGGGTCACTGTCGTAGTCGTGGTAGCCCGTCGGTATAGTATAGCCAATAACAGTGATCGATAAAGCACGGCTAATTACCTAGGTCCTACCTCAAAATTGAAGCTTTGTTCCAGCGTCGAAATTAATTGACTCCATTCACTCTCGATAACGCTTGATACTCGAATACCGTTCAGTTGCTCGTTTGTCTCGGTGAGAATTGTAGTCCGTCTTTGGTAGCAGAAAGCAGTCGCCACTTGAAACCGATAGTGGAATTCTGTTAGACAGATATTTCTCGGCTGTTCGAGCATTCCTCTATGAAGACACAAATTTACCCCGTTCACGCCATAGAGAAACGGACACGCTCGTATTCGACTGCGAGTAACTGCATGCTGGCACTGATTTGCCCCTATTAAAGTACAAATTTCCTAGTTCGCACCGCTCATCGTGCGATAATACCTTAGTATTCTCTCTCGCCAGACTAACTTTCCGTTAATTTTGAAAAAATTTCATCGAACGTTTTAATTAATTATTGCATGACTTTTATGGAGAGAGCCGCAATTTATTTCTAAATTCATTTTCTAAATTTTACACTGTTCTTTTAAAAATTACCCTTTCAATATATGAAACTCTTTTGTTTAATAATTATATATTTAACTATAGGTTAATATACTTGGGTCACAATTGACCAAGTTCTAAATTACTAATAGCGTTGCCGTTTGGACATATATTTTTTAATTAGCGTACCTTTAGATGAGGTTTTTGTTTATAAATAAATGTTAACACCTGTGCGTGTTAATTGTTATTATAAATACTGATTTATGGTATTTATTTACGATTATTATCATTCTTTAACCCGTTCACCCCGTCCAGTAGAAATATCAATATTTAGTACGGCACACGTTTGGATATGAATTATTAACATTTCGGCTATCATAGCCAATTTAAAAATCAGTAATATTCAAACATAATTCTATTAATAATCTAATGAATATAACTATTAAAATTGTAATAGTCATCGATTCCACAAAATCAGCGGTCGTCAGAGTGTTAATTATTTGATTCAATTAAATTCATTAATGGTGTCGGTAATTTATCCGACAACCGTATTAATATTTTACAAATAATCGTACGTTACATAAATTAATTGATGAGCGATAAAACACCCAGCAGTTTATAATAAATTTAAGACCCAGTTTCATTTAGTTCGTTGCAGAACACTATATTAGATCGACATCGATGAAATGTTAATATAGATATTTTTATCAAGGATACCAATTAGCAGTACTTTTAATTCATGAAATTATGTTAGACTTTCTGTGTTTCTATAAGTCATTGACCATTTCAACTAATAATCAGCCAGTTAATACTAAGAATATCAACGAGCCATTTATGCAGTCATCTTCCTCGAACTTTAAGCTTCAATTTGATGTGCTACAAGTGTTACTTTGCAGTACTTTTATACGATGAAGTCGTGTCAGACTGCAACAACCTAATATCACCTTCCAAAGTTCGCATTCTCGAGCGGCCGCGAACTTTATCCCGGCTCATAACGATCCACGATGATCACTCAGCGATCCAGCCGGTTGCTGGTAAAGTTTGCCCCAACGCTACCGTTCAATTGTACAGTTGCGTGTGCTTGTACAGGAAACGTAGCTCATCCACACGTACGTACAAATGCAGCCCGCAGGCAGCCATTCCTGCTTCCGGTCGGCTGCCATGCACAGAATGCGTACGCGTATGCAGATTGGCGGCCGTGTTATGCACCCCACATACCGACCAGAGATCGATTTGAATCGTGCCTTTTTCATTCGAAATGAATCGGTCGGAAAAGTATTCGAATTCTCTGGCTGCCGAAGTCGAAACAGATTTACCTAACTGCGTCTTCGACCTACAATTATACCAAAGTATTCCCGATACGATTTTCACCCTTTCAGATCCACCCCTGAACTAACTTCGTCCCGATTTTTAAAAATGAAAGCTAGGAAAAACTTCGATCTTCGTAATTGTTCAGACAAACACAATTTGATGGGTGAAACTTTGTTAAGGTATAATGTAATTAGTACGATAAAACGAACCGTGTATGTGTCTGTACGTTTGGAAGTTAATTAAATAGCTTGCATTGAGTGTTTGTGGAACGGTACACGGTCGATTCATCGATAACCAGGATTTCGATTACAGGAATTGCTTGGTGGGCAAAGCTTATCACATTAAAATCTCGGATTTCGGTACGGACAACGAATTGTACGCGTGCGATTATTACAAAGTCGATGGCACCGTGCCCCTGCCGATACGCTGGATGGCCTGGGAATCCATATTTTTGGTAAGCATGATATCGAATAATACGACCTGCTGTTAATGCACTTTGCATGCTTTTTATTTACTCTATTATAATTAACAAGATAATATTTCAAGAATTTATTTTTATTTATCACATATTATTTCCACCTTCCAGCCAAGTTATTCTTTCTCTCACACTTTTTCTATCATCAAAAACAAGTACTTGAATTAAACAGAATTAGTGATCGATATTGGAAAGTTCCTCTTGGAAATTTTCAAGTAACTCGAGCATACTCGAGCTTCGAATCACTGAATATTACTCGAGCCCTAAGTCTTGAAAGTCTTGGAACTCTCGATTCGAGGGTCTTGAAAACGAGAAGCACGGAACGTGTATGATATAACAGAATATTTGAAAACAAATCTTTTTCAACCAGACAAGAGAGAGAGAGTAATTCAGGAAACGTAAATCCCAGTTCCATCCCAACCATCCCCGTTCCCTTATCTGACATCGAGCCTAACCGATTTCACGACCGACTAAATTCCATCGTAGCAGAACACGGTCCGATAATCGATACGAATCTTCGCAGGGCAAGTACACGACGAAGAGTGACGTATGGGCGTTCGCGGTGACCCTATGGGAGATCTTGAACCTCGGCAGACGCGTTCCCTACGAGCACTTGTCGGACGAGGAAGTGGTCCAGAGCCTGCGACGATTACATCGGGCGACCGACTGCAACGACACCGGTGGCGAGAACAATTGCAAAGAGAATAACGATAATCTATTCGACTATTTACCACAACCGATCGCCTGCTCCAAGGATATCTACGATCTCATGCTGGACTGTTGGCGACGCGAGGAGACCGAGAGGCCGACCTTCCGAGAAATCTCCATGTTTCTCCAGAGGAAGAACCTTGGATACGCGCCTACATCCTGATACTGAACGTCCAGGATAGTCGATGAGCACGATAATCGTGGCGCTTGCCACGCGTGCCCGGCTAAAAATCATTCAAACGTCGACCGACGGACGATCGATGACACGTTCTATCCTCACTGGATAACCGTAAGAACGAGATTCTGAAATGATTGTAACAGAGAAGTTCGATGATACATCGAAGAATCGGATACAACGACAAGGTCCCTGGCTCGGTTCCCGTCAACGAAAATGAACGAGTTTCTTAGGTTTTCTGATAGAAGTTAATCGGAAGACGACTTCCAGGCAGGTGGATACTCAAGCTTCGTAATATTCCCTTAGTATGTAAGGGAAATCGTCGGGATCTCGGCTTGTTTAAGGGTAGAAAATACAAATCGCGGAACTGTGAATTCGACAATCGAACGAAGAGAACGTTAGGCGATACTTTGTTCGTCAAAGTTGCAGAGAATCTCGTGGATCTCGGTGGTCCTTAATGATCGTCGAGAATTTAGGAGCAATATCGTGTAATCGTAAAGCTGTGAACATTCCTGCATGGGTTTAAATACGTATCTTCGAGGTAAATAGGGGATATTCGTTACTTAAGGAGTTAGAAGTTATATCTTCTTGGAGTACGCGCTATTTCTGGTAGCGAGACAAAATTCGGAGAGGAAATTGTGAAAATGGTAAGAAATCGCATCGGCACTTATGGCAATATACGGTAAATAAATCTCCTCGATGGGTTTTTGATCGATGATAATGATTGTACGTGTATAAAATGATGTGTGAATGAGGGGTGTTTGTGGAAACGTGTAGGTGGTTAAAATTCGTCGTGCGTAAATTAATCGTAATCATTAGACGCTCATTAAGCTTTTCTGATTCGAACGATTCGACGAAGCGAACGAAGACTGTCGAATTTCGTGTTTTATTGTACACGATGGAATCTCTCTTTTAGAAAAAATTACATCGACGCTGAACTTTCAATCGGTTCAGCTCGCACGGGAAAATCCGACGATATCATATTAATTCACGAGGGTGAGAACGGTAGAGATATTTGTTGGAAGGGGTGGTGGCTCGCACCACGGACTATGACACATCATAATTGTAACTTTATATGATAGGCGGGATCAATACAAACACAAAGAAAAAAAAATGAACTAGTATATTGTACATATAGGCGTACATCGAGAAATTAACAGAAAAGAAAAAGATCATTATATCATTGCGAAACTAAACGACGAGATTAGCAACGATCAAACAATTCGAGGTATAGTCCTTGGAACTGGGTTCCTTTCTGTCTCTACTAAACATGGTTTCAGTAAAAAAAAAATGAAACGGGTTCTTCTGGAGATGGAACAGAATTGTTCGATGCGAAACTCGAAACATATCGGGTGCTTCGTTTCAGAGGGAAACGAAGCTATAAGGGTAGGAGATACGACGAATTTGTAAGATTTCATGGTAAAAGAAACACTGTTCGTTTAGCGATGCTATTCTCGCGTCATTCAACTAATTAACCATTCGAATCGTTATGTTCCATGTATTTATACCGGATGAATACTATTAATAGCATTCGCAATATCTAGTTGGTAGGTGATGTTACCGTTACAACATTAAAAATACTATTTATATATCTTAATGTAACGCCGCGTAAAGGAGTAGATTAATACCAGAGACATAGCCATTCGTATATAAATCGTACGCGCGTTGAATTTAAACGTAACAAAGATCGCTTCCCTCTGTGTTTGCCGACGAGGAAAATAAAGAAAGGGGGGTTGAAATGATCGTAACTGAACACAGTGTAGCTAAGTCAATGAAATGATCGTTAACGAAGAGACGAATAATTAAGAAACATTTTTCCCTTATTAAGGATAAACGTAGAATCATTCAGGACCGTAGAATTTTATACGAAAATCAGGCAATTTCGTTCTCATAGAGTATATTAGTGTGTTAAAGAAAAGTGAAAAAAAAAAAAGAAAATAACGAAACCGCCGTCACTCGTGACATTAAAAAAAAAAGAAATTATGAATCATAGTTGCGTTTAGATTCATCGATGTAAGCATAATTGCTGCCTTTGGCTGTATCGTTGCCCCCTACTGCTAACGAGTAACTCACTTGTCTACTCATGTGATAATTTAATATATCTCTGCGTATCTACCTGTACCTACACCGGTTCGAAAATCTTTGTAGCAAAAAGGATCGTTTCTCTTGCGCTGCATTCTATCTAAATTTTCATGACCGACAGAACTATCTTTCTTAGGGGATGAAATAATAATTAAATATACATGGTGAATTTGTTCTTAAATTTTACTTGATTCTTTTGAAAAATAAGTGTATTTATAATAATTTTAGAGTGATTATTTTCAAGGTTTGTAAAGAGAGGTCTAAGAGGGGCTACAGCCCTGGCCCCACTTTCCAAGAGGTTCCATTATAAACTTTTCATTTACTATGCCAAGAAATATCGAATGAAATTTTTTTACTGTTGCTGTTTTTTTAATAAATTTCAATTTTTGAAGCAAGATTAGCAACCAAAGGGGCCCCGAGCCTAATGAATTTTGACAAAATTTCACCGTCTACTGTAAGATATTCCGTCGGTAAATATTCTTTGCCATAACTGCATCGATCGCTTAAAGAAACTCGTTTCAACGAACCTAAATGTATCATTAACGTCGCTTCGATTCGTGAGCTCCACGTTGATTTGAACGATCCCAATTGAACGGGGTGAATTGGCAATCGGTGAAATATCCCACGAAGCCAAACGCGTATCAATTCTTTTTTTATCCTCTAATAATTTCGCAACAAAGTGTATGATCGACAATCAAGCCTCGATGCTTCCGGGATCGTTTAATCTTCCAAGTTAAAGTTGATGTTAAACGACATCAACACCAGGAAGAGAATCGCAAAAAATGGAATTGCTGTTTCCTTTCGTAAGTATCAGTTTTACGCGCGAATATTGCAGATTATTAATTTGCTGTTTTACATGATAGGAGATAAGAAAATTTTAATTACTTTTCAAAATATCAAACGATAATAAGGGTATCTCTCTTTACAAGATGCATTATTAGTATTAAGACTCTATTTTCTCATTCGAATCGTAGACAAATGTGTCTCGTAATCTTAACCAATATCGAATTAGATTGCAAACATATCCTGAACCTCTCAAGCCTCGAATTTTGTTGTAAGAAACGGTGTGATCGCTTGAAGGATTTGATTTAGAGATAAGGGAATACGGGTTAATCGAACGCAAATCTGTCTACAACTCGAAAATGAAAATAAATAAAATCTAGTCTATCACGGAGATCGAAGAATTGATCTGTAGATTATTAAGTACCATTTAAATTCGTAGTTCGTTTTTAGGAATGAAGCAACAGAATCACAGATACACAAGAATTCTATCATGTAAAACAACTTCTCTATGGATTTGACTGTTTTAAGAAAATTATTAAATTATTGAATCTAATTTCTAACACAGCCGATTGTTAATCGGACGTGGAATTAAGAGAAATGTAGAGGTAATCGCGGAAGACTGTGGAGAGCTCACCTAGCTATATATCTTCTATTCAGGCACAGGCAATCTCTGGCTTTTATCATCGCGCAATATACAATCATGTTATTCAATTTTCAGTTACCATCTACTGTTCAGAGACTAGGAGTAAAAAAATAGGGAAAGAAATGCGGGTACGATTGGTCGTAGTCGATACGTTACGCCTCACGCGCATGCGTTCTAGATCGTCGCGCGCTATTGGCCGATGCGATCCACGCTAATCGCGTCGCCTGACAAAGAACAATTAGACTTCGCGACAAAGCGAGATGGTACGAAGTCAGCATTGCAGCGAGGATCAAACGTCGGGACAAGGCGGAACGTGCGCTTGCTTACTTCTAGTCTCTGAACATTACTTACTTTCGTGAATCAATCGTTTTCAATTCTCAATAACGTGCCGAATTATCTCTCGTCGCGTGTAACTATCAGTATTAATTTCTCACCAGTGTCGTTCTCCTTCGTTGTTTTACAACGTTCATCATTTCTTTGCCTTCTCCTTTTTTCAATAGAAACGATAAAATTTGATAAAAATGAATGATTTTCTTCCTATTAATTAAACGATACGTTCTAATAACAATTAGCGGAAAAGCTGTAAATACTGAAATTAAAAATGTTTGACGGAAATTGAGTTTTCTGCTTGAAAAAGGAAACGGGGCGAGAGAAAATGAGAGAGAGAGAGAGAAAAGAAACCTGCTGAAAGGCCGTGAAAGGTTGCCTAGGCCTGCTCTACGCTATTGAACCTTAATCGTTATAGTCATAAAATTATTTTGTACTAAGAACTGTTTATAATTTTGTATCTAATCTCTGTAAATACCAAGCAGATTGTCTATGGCTAATAAAGCTTAAACAAAATCGATATAAGTAGACTATGTAAAGGAATTATTATATATATATATACATATATATAATATATATATTATTTTAATTAGATGATAAGAAAGCGAGCGAGAAAAATGTAATTAAATTTCACATAAGAGAGGACTGGTAATCCACCAATGTACAACGATCTAGAAATTATTTGTACTATACAAGTGACAATTTAAGGGACAAATCATAAAAGTATACATGTTACTTGATAGTCTCATATATGTATAGGGTACTCCGTTAGATATTTATTCTGAAATTCCAAATGAAAATAATTTCATTATAGAAAAATAATTTTTTTTTGTTTTTTTGTTTTTTATTGTTTTACATTGTAGAGTTTAATGATAAAACTACTTGAACACTAGATATTCCTAATAAAAATTGTTTTTCTTGTACAAGCTCTTTCAGTTTAATTAAATATTTGACACTAATTTGCTATAATTAATATAGGAAAGAAGTTATTGGGGAATTTTGGAAGAAAATGTTTCAGCTCTTGGAAAACCCTGTACAGTATTACAATGTAGAATCCAACTAGTCATTTACGACACTCTGTAACAACTAAAGTAAATCTTTTACAAGAAACGTGACATACAAAAAAGTAATTAATTGAACGGATGAATTCAAACTATTGCGCTCTAAATATTAACGCCTGAATATACGTGTTTAATATCATGTTTATTTTATGTTTCGTTTCTTTTTTTTTTAAATACGAGTTTGTAAGTTGTCATCAGTAAAACATAATTTTCAACCATTGTAAGATTCCTTATTTCGATCACTTTGTCTCTAAGCTATCACTTAAATGTTACCGATGGTAATTTAAATCTTGCGCAAGATAATTCTATTCATGTAACTTATATGTATGTCTCGATAAAGACCGAAGTACACGTTGTAAGTTCAAGTACGCGGGAAGCATAATGATAAAACCTATTTGTATTGAACAGCGAAATGAAATGAAATTACAAATTTCAATGAAAACCCACAATATCTCGACTTTCTTGCTTCAACGTTCCCGTAGAAACACGAGCCTCGTACAAAATAGAATTTACACTTTATGCTTCTAAAATAATTAACAAATGAAGGGTGTTTTCAGGGCAATAGAATGTGAATCTACATAAAAAAGTAAGTTGAAAATGTAAAATGACATTTGTTCGTACGAAACTTCGTTTTTGAATAAATCGAAATTGAAAATTTAGTGGCATTTCAAAAAAAACCGCCTGGACATGCGGCGTCTACTATTTGGTGCTAAAAAAGAACTATTTGATGTTGCCGATAGGGTATTCATTTTGCCGACACTAAGGGGCGCTTTTTAAAAAGTATGGTGGCGCCTCTGATATTAATCAGGAGAACTATAATTCATCGAAGTAAAGCAAGGATAAGTTATACTCGTTGGATATATTTAACGTCAAGATCGCCAAGAATCGTTGTATAGTAGAAATTTACCTCCTGCTATTCTGTTTCTCGGTACTGCAGCATTCGGCTTCGATTCTTGGTTATGACTGCACCAACCCCTGCTGACCTGACGTTCAGTCGTCGGTGCTGGGTGGATTGCAGGTTTCAGGGGCTTTTTATTCGAATTTTTAAACGTTAATGACTAGAAAACAAAGCCGCAAACGCTATTTCGTTATTCTTGATTTTCGTCTTATTTTGATCCCTAGAATCACCCCTTAAAATTTTGCCCACCTGTTGTCGAACACCCTGTATTTGGAAGATAACAAATTTCTGCTTTTTTATTTGCGAATATCTTATTAAATATAATGTTTGCGACTGGAGCAATTTTAGATTCCGAGGGAGCAAATGGGGAGCAATTTTTTAAGATATAAATTGTTAAGAAATATTAATATTCCGCGCCAACTTTACTTCGATCTATAATTCGGAAGATTTTTTGCGCTCCCCATCGGTGAAATCAAAAAGCTCTTTCTTTAACACCAAACAGTAGATGTCGCCGCATGTCTTCTGGCGGTTTTTATAAAATATAGAAATTTCGATGAAATTTCAACATTAATTTATTTAGAAATAAAGCCTTGTACAATAAAATGCGTCCCTATATTTTCGATTTACTTTTTTAAATAGATTTACCCTTTTTCTGATTGTGACACCAGATTGGAAACACCCTGTATACCTTTCTACAAGTTATGCACAGTTCAACAACTTAACCATGAAACTATGTTCATAATCTATTTTTTAATATGACAGTAATAACATAACAACAGATATACAAAAATTGTATTACATATCACAAACAAGTAAAATTAACTTGATTCACTTAAAATATGAATCAGTATGATATAATGTTACTGATTAATAAACTTAATTATAAAGAATTTATGATATTTTCTACTTCTATATAAGAATTGTTAAAACGGTTATTCATTTGAAAAATGTTTTATATTCAAGCTCCTTCAGGACAAGTATCGCTTCATGTATTAGAAAAATGTGTTATGGTCAGGTTGGAGTATTTAAAATTATTATATGAAGGTAAAGCTGATGAATTTAATGATAATTTTGAATATCTATTGGAAAATTCAGTTTATGATAAAGTTGGACATTTCACATTAAGGTAACTGATTACTTAAATACTCATATTATTAATTACAAAACAAATAATCAATGATTAAAGTAAATATTATTTACTTTAGATTGTTAGCATCAACTTCACAAGATCTCTATGACTATTGGATTGCCAGAGAGATACTTTTTTTCAAAACTAGACTGAATCATATTTTACCAAGACAATTGTATAGATTACTAAGAAGCATATTATGTCAATTAAGATTATTTCCAAATAAGGAAAAACTAATTAATAGAACGTTGATTGATTTATGCAATTTGTTTTTAAAACCCTCTGTTTTTAAACATCTTGTATCCAAAAGTAATACAGAAAATTGTAGGCTTGTTGAAGCTAAAGGTATGTATACATGAATTATTGTTAACTTACAAATTTAACAGATTTGAGATTATATTTATTCTGAAACCTTTTTAAGTGAGATATGAATTGGTACCAGATTTAATAAGGAAAAGGAAATTAGATTTAAATGCAGGATTTGCTGTTGTACATTGTTCAAAATGGAAAGAAGTAATTTTATCCTTATTTAAAACTTACATAACTAAAGAGTTAATGTTAATGAAAACAAATGCCCAGTGTACTATAAATCAAGATATTAGACTTGACTACCTGTATCAAAAAGTTCATTGTAAAATATTTCAAAATAGTCATATACACGGACGTATATCTAAAGACAATATAGATATTGAAGCTAAAAATTTTCCACTTTGTATGCAACATTTGCATATGAAATTACGAAATGTGCATAGACTTAGTCACTACGCTCGTTGGCATTATAGTCTATTTTTAAAAGATGGTGGAATGCATCTAGAAGATGCTATAAATTATTGGAAAGAAGAGTATTCTAAACCTCACTCTTGTTCTTCCATCTGTTCACACAATTGGCAATCAAACGAAAAAAAATTTATATATAGTATTAGACACCTTTATGGTTTAGAAGGATCTCGTAAAAATTACAACTCACCTAGTTGTAAATTAATGTCTGTAAGTAATGTTAGTTCATGCTATAAATTATTATAATTTATTAAAGCTAATAATTTTTTTTTGTCAAATACCCCTAGGTAAACATTTCTAGTCCAATGTATGAAGGTGGATGCCCATTTAAACACTTTGATATAAATACTTTACAAAATCTATTATGCTTATCATTACCAAATGATCAAGTAACTAAACTACTAAAAACTATATCTCCTCACAATCCTCAAAACTCTTGTGCCCAATTTTTTAAGTTACTTTCTCAAACAAATAATGATAATATTATTATTGGTAGTCCTTTACAATACTACTTAAAAATGATTAATCAAGTTTAGGTGTTAAATAATAACTAATTTATTCTTAAATTATATTGATTTTTAATAAAATGAATAAATAAATAAATACATAGTATTTGATTACACGTAGTAAAAGTTAACACTAAAAATCAACTTTTATTTGCTACATAAATTTTTCTAAATAGTGTATGTACATATTAAAAATTGTTTAAAGCATTTTCGACAACTGCATGTGTCAAATCATTTTTTACCAATATACATTTAACACCAAGTTTACTTACATCAACAATATTCCTTTGTTCATCATCAAAAAACATCATGTCTTTATAATCAATGCCTGATGCTTTTTGAATTCTGAAAAGATGAATTCTTGCCCAGTATTTAAAAAAATGATAGAAATATTATTTAAATTTAATAAAATATAATCAAAACTTACTTAGAAAAATGAGTAACTTTACTTCCTGGATAAATTTCCTTATACTTAAAATATTTATCCCAATTGAACAAATTTAATAATTGTTTAGCACCCTGTATTTCCGATGTACGTGATGCAACACCAAGTTCATATTTTGCTGATAAACTTTTCAATATTTCAGGTACATCCTTATAGTATCTTATAAGTTGACCATGAGCATCTACTACATCATTTCCTTTCCTAAGTTGAACAAAAATCAAATGTACATCAAATTTTAACTATTGGAAGTTTCATTTTTATTAATCATTATTTTTTAACTTACTTTCTAAAAGGTGGAGTAACATGAGTATCAACCCAAAATGGCCATAAGGTATAATCTGAAACATATTACAACTTACTATATAGTATAAATATATTTTAATTATGCAGCTGAAAGATAAAAATACTTTTTTTTAACATATAAAAAATGTTTTATACTTTAATTCCTAACCTAAATCAAAGACAAGTAATTTAGGTTTTCGACTCATTTTACACGTTTACTATTTTTTCCTATGTTTATCAAGTCAAGCTTGGATGTAAAATACCACGGGTTACCGATGGTACTGTACAGTTATCATAAAGCAACTAATGTAACAAGCTGAAGATATTGTGCAAATCTCACTGTCATGTTTTTTTGACATTTCTTATCTTTGCTTAAGGTGATGTTAGCGTGTGGTGGAGTAGTGATGGGCGATACAGTATCGATATTTTTCAATTCAAATATCGATATTTAACATGACGATATTTTGCAGTATCGATACTTAATATATGAATATCTCCTCGGGAAAATATCTTTCAATTCATCTCCGCTATCACTGATATCGGTAGTATCACTGAAATCAGTACAATTGTTCAATTCTTCTTTTGCAATGTTTTTATTTAACAAAAATAACGATAATGCAGATAACGTATGAAAAAGTGTTCCTTTTCCAAACGGAACGATATCAATGCGCGCATTACTTTGAATGCGATCCATGCGCTTGCCCCCTGTGGTTCGGGGGGCTTAGAATACGGCCACGGTATCCCCTGCCTGTCGTAAGAGGCGGCTAAAAGGGGTCACACAGCACATACACACACGTACACATGCACGCACACACACATACACACCGATTCGGACAAAAGACGAGCAGACTCTAAAAGTATGGACTGAGTAAAATTTAAAAGTATGGACAAGTATGAGTGATGAGCCCCGAAGGCGCGTGACCGATAGGGTTCGTTGGGCAATATGGGGACAGATAAGTCCCCAAAAGCGCCGGCCCTTAGGGGCGAAATTAGTGAGATGAGATGAGATCCATGCGCTTAATGCGTGAAACGGAACGGACCCTAGCATTACTAAGGGGTGTCTGGGACCCCTCGAGACTAAAGGTATGTCCAGTGTTTTTGTATGTGTAGTCACAGGTTACAGCACGAAATATGTTCCTAACCTATAAAAGAGGCTGCTGTTACCACACATAGAACATATATACGAGTGTTTAATTTTAGTTTCCACGATTTTTGCAATATTAACTAGCAAAAATCAGTAAAAACATATTAACGTTTATACATATATTTGAAAGAAAGCTACAAACATTCAATGAAAAACATGTCAACATTATTGCGACTTGTTCGTTCTCAAGGAATTAGGAACAGAGCGACATGTTTAACATTCAGAGATAATAAAGTGTATAATGTAACACATCGCAATAGCTCTTCAGCAGTTAAACAGGAGGAAGTAGATAAAGAAGAGCCATATAAAGTAAAACGTACATGGAGGAGTTACGGATTTGACTTCGAAGATGAAAAACTAGATCGTCATTTTATGCATCAGACACTTTTTGTTGTTATTAGTATATGTTTCGTTGGTGGATCGTTTATAATTGCTTATATGCCAGATCATAAATTAAAGGATTGGGCTCAGCGCGAAGCATATATACAGCTTCGTTATAGAGAAGAAAATGGTTTACCTCTAATAGATCCAAATGTTGTAGATCCATCAAAGTTCACTCTTCCATCTGAGGAAGAGCTTGATGATATGGAAATAGTTATTTAAACACTACAAAAAGCATTGTATATAACAATAAAAATAAACTTTAGCATTTTTAGATATTAACATCATTGTTCTACTGATATACATACGTGTATTTAAGTTATAATAGTATGTATAATATGTAATAAATCATTTTCATTATATGCAGGGCAATCGTATTTTTATAATTTTCAAAATCCATACAAAATTTTTATTTTAGATATTTTATTATTTAAAGATAAATTATATAACACAAAACACGTGTTACTACATGTATATTTTAGATTGTTATAGTATAGAAAATAAAACTTATAAACATCCATAATAAAAAGCATAAAAAGCAGAGAGATGAATATATAAAGATTTAATACCTTTAATTTTTTAAATGCTTTAATTCAATTCTAATTTATATAATTATTTAATAGTTTTTTATCTATGTACAGAATTGTATAATCTTTGCCCATATTTAAGAATTTGTATACATTATATTAAACAAGTAGTAATAAAGTATAAAGTCACAAAGTAATAATACAATATGTTTGTAGTATATCCTTGCACTTCTGTTTTAATTTTATTCTTTAATATGTATTTTGTTATAAAAGATAACAGGTATATCTATTAGGAATAATATACTGATTACTGTGTAGGTGGTATTGTAGGCGATACTGTAGTGGGAACTGTAGTAACATTAGTCAATTCATTTTGCTGAAGAACAGACGAATAGAAAGATGTACTTTGCGGCAGGCTCGTGCTAACGGTAATCGGTGGCATACCAGGTAATGAAATCTCTATATGAGATTGAGACACATTAGACTTTGGTAAAGGTGAAATTCCACCTTGAACAGTTGTATAATCTTTTGGTATTCCAACAATGCCAGTTGTTTCGTTTAAAGGCGTTGTATTAGTAATAAAAGTTGGTAAAGGTGGAATAGTTGGCATACCAGGTATATTCGGCATTGTATTTTGAGACAAAGAATCATTAGCTGAGGAAGAATAAAAAACTGAAAGTAACTTTTCCGCTTTTAAAGTGCTATAACATTTTTAACTCTAATTATTTTTTAACACTTACCGTGCGTCGTATTTATGTTGCTTTGATTAGATACATGAGGTATGAAATTAGTGGTAGTAGTTCCTCCAACTGTAGCAGGATTTAATTGTGGAGTTGTGTACGTTTGCGTACTTGATGTATATGTAGTTTGTAATGGAACAGTGGTTTCAAGTTCTGATTTTGTAGTACATTCTTGTGAAGAAATGTAATTAGGTGGAATAGAAAAACCTGGAGGTATATTTGTAACCACGTTGCTACCCCCTGTGTAAGTCATGCTCGTTGTAACTTGACTTGGAGCAACTGATTTGATAATACTCTAAAGAATAATAAATAATTAGATTAAATATTTTATTACATTAGATTAGATAATATTACAATAAAATAGTACATACCGTGTATGAATTGTTAGATTTATGTTCCTGAACATTTCTAATAGGTATTCTATGCAGATATCCGTATCCAATTCCACAGCCCAAACTATGAAAACACAATATAATTTTTAAATAAATATTTTTCTATAACATAATTTGCATTAATATGTATGTAAATACCTTCCTTCTCCTCCCCAATTATGATTAGGTGTAATTGTAACATCTCTGCAAGAATCATCTTCTGTATTATATACATATAATTTAAGAGGTCTAGATTCATGAGCTTCGATCAAAGTAAATAAATCCTCTGATTCGTGTAAAACTGAATCAGCATTAATAATATAATCTGTAAATGGCCTTAATCCTGCTAACTCAGCAGGAGAAGATGGATGCACTTCCTATAAGATATAATTCAACAGATTTATATTATTTACATTTTTTTCTTCTGCAAATCATATCTTGTTCTTAAATGTTACTTATACTTACAAGAACATGCCAAACATTTTCATTTGAACCTTCGAAAGAACAGAATCTCACGCTAACACCAAGAAGACCTTGTCCACCCCAAGTAAGACTAGGTACTATAACAGTTTGTCTTACAGATTGTGTTTTACTACTATATACAGTCATAGATAATTTTTTATCCACACCATTTTTAAGAAGTTCCTTTAACGTGTCATTATCTTGATTCTAGAAATAATAAAATCCAAGTATGCAAATTTAATGAAAATCTGTAAGATTTTTATGAAAAACATAAATTTAAATGAAAAACATACCAAACGGGTATTTCCAATAGCTACAATAAAATCAAAGAATGCCTGAAGACCAGCTTTTTGACCAGGAGAACCTTCCTGTACCTGTTTCAATCATAAAAATCAAACTACATTTTCAACATTAGACCTAGAACATATCTGATTATTATTAATTTATACAAATCTGAAAAATTGATAAATATTTATGTTAAAAATTGTTTTATTAAATCAAAATAGTAAATTTCTGAAATAAATTACATTATTCTGACAAGTTTCCTTACCTTCAATACATGGTAACCTTCTGTACCACCTCCTGGTATTTCAATGCTATGAGAAGATCCCATTTTTAGTTAGGAAATTTCTTAAGTCACTTGATTTGAAGAAAGACAAAACATCAAAATAAATATTATAATTTAAATAACACTAATCGAAGTAAAAAAATATGTAACTCGAACGCCTCGTATAAACTACTTGGTGACGTAGCCTATCATATGTATAGAGCAATGACTACAGATCCAACAAGACTAGCCATGCTTGACTTTGTGCCTTGAGAATGAACGCCATCTGCTCTATTCTAGTATAAAAATGTGAAATACTTCGCAGTGCAACAGTCTAACGCACGTTGAGGGTAATAGCAGATTACTTTTTGTCAGTCAGTGTCTCGAGCTCAGCCGTGCCATATTAAAGCAACAAGAGAAGCAGCAAGGTGAGATTGAACCAGCCCTTCTCTCGACACTACATGTTACCTGTACATCTTTACATACCTGTATCCCTTACATCTTTGCACCCCTTACATCTCTGCATCCTTTACATCCCGACAACCTTACATCTCTGCATTCCTTACATCCCTGCACCTCTTCCCTCCCAGCATGTTTTACATTGCTGAATTCTTTACCTTACATCACTGCTTTCTATATATCCCTGCATCTCTTACATCTCTGCATCCCTTACATCCCTGTATCTCTTACACCTTTGCACCCTCTACATCTCCGCATCCCGGTATCTTTTACATCTCTGCACCCTTTACATCTCGGCATCCCTTACATCCCAGCAACCTTACATCTATGCATTCCTTACATCCCTGCATCTTTTCCATCCCAGCATGCTTTACATCTATGTGCGAATTAATTTTGCACCCTTTGGATGAGAAAATTTGAATTTTTTCCGAAAAATAGCGCCCTCTAGCGGCAAAAAAGGAACTAAATTTTCGACGTCGAATCAGCGCGCCCTGGTGGTAAAAAAGGGAACTAAATCACGCAAGAATTTTGGCCCTCTAGCGGCAAAAATGTGAACTAAATTTTCGACGTCGAATCAGCGCGCCCTGGTGGTAAAAAAAGGAACTAAATCACGCAAGAATTTTGGCCCTCTAGCGGCAAAAATGCAAACTAAATTTTCAATGTCGAATCAGCGCCCTCTGGCGGCAAAAGGGGGAACTAAATCACACCGGAATTTTGGCCCTCTGGCGGCAAAAATGCGAACTAAATTTTCGACGTCGAAGCAGCGCCCTCTGACGGTAAAAAAGAGAACTAAATTTGCACAAAAATTTAAATTTTAAATTATTTTTTGCGAGATTTTACTTACCTTTACTTACCTTTACTTACCTTTACTCGAACCAGTGGCCATAAGTATATTTTTTATAATATATTATTATATTTATAATTTGTTTATTATAAGGATTGCAGGGATGTAAGGGACGCAGGGATGTAGGGGATGCAGGCATACAAGGATTGCAGGAATGTAAGGGATGAAGAGATATAAATGATACAGGAATATAAGAGATACGGAGATAGTGATTTAGGGGTAGTTCCTGCGAGGCCCATGAAAAGAATGTAAAAATAAATAACTGCGAAGGGCGGTCTTGGTCTATAAAGAGAGATAGGATAATAAAAAACTGGGAATAAAATAATAAACAATTAGGAAACGTGGGTATTGACCTATACAGAAATATAAAATAATTAATGAGTAAAAAGGGTGGGGTTTGGCCCATACAGAAGGATAAAATAATAAATAACTGGAAAAAATGAGCCGGAGCCCACACGGAAGGATAAAGTAATAAATACAAGGGATGGTCGGCCAAAGCCCACAAGGATAAAATCATAGATTTCATTCCCCTTTGATGTGCTTACTTAATAAGCGAAAAAAATAAATAAACTAAATTAAATGGACTCTGAAAGGAAATTAGAGGTATATGTATCTTTGATAGGTTGATCCGCAACCCTCGACGGTCGCTATAAGACTGAGGAGGTCGCACCTCCTGTCTATGTGAGATGCGGTAAAAGCAGAAGTGGTAAAATAGGCACGTTTGTCGTACCGAATGTGTTCTGTTTATGAAGATCTAACGGTGCATGGGGGTGTCTGAGACCCCAGAAATTCTAACCCCTCGAGAACAAAGGCATGTCCATCCTTTTTGTATCTGTAGTCACTGCATAATGTAAGAATTTTACTGTGGTGCTATCATACGGTTAAACAAGAAATTTAAAATCAAAAATAACAAATCAATACACGTCATGTATTTCTGTTCCTCTTTGCAATTTGTATAAATGTTTACATTGTATATTCTATTATAAAGGATTATATAGTATACAAATATTCATAAACTAAATCAGTTTTCTTTATGTAATATTTCAGTTGATCTTTAAGTGGGGTATGTAACAGTATGTAAGATACAATGAAATTATTAAATAATTTTTCATAATATAAATTGTATTATAATCACTTTATTATAATATAAATGCACAACCTGATTGAAAGAATCCTTTCAATTAATACATTTTTCATTTGAAATTTTCAGATGACGAAATTAATGGAATGGCTTTCATTTGCAACTTTATTTTTTGGTATTTGGATTGCTATAATTACAGGAAATATTGATTCATTTTTTATTACAGAATGGCAACAAGTTATTTTGTTCTTTCCACTCATTGTATTGTTTTTGTGTGGTCTTTATGCAGCTGTTATTATTCTGTACAGAGTGTTTACATTTAATAATTGTGAAGACGCAGCTTTTGAATTGCAGGAGGTATGTTTGAAAATAAATATAAACTCACATATTTTCTTCTAAGTTACTTCATTAATTTTATAATTTTCCTTTTTGTTTAGCAAATAGAAGAAGCTAAAAAAGATCTTCAAAGCAGAGGTGTAATTTTAAAGAACAAATAGATAGAAATGTTTTTGTATTATTTAAGACAAACAATGTAATGATGTATATGACCATTCCTATCTATATAGGTTATATTTATACATGTTTTGAAAAATATTGTATAATAATAAAAAATTTGAATTAAAAAATTATGTTACAGAAAAATATAATTCACATATATAGAAAATACCTTTATATATTTATTACATAAAAATAATGGATGTCACAGGTAACCACTCACTTATTCACATAACTTTTAATGCATTTATTTATTACACTTAAAGTAAAATTTAATAACAAATAATATGAACATTTTCATCTGTACTGTTTTAATATTTTTTGGTACTTCACACACAATGAAAATTGAATCAGAACATTTTTGTATACTATAGAATTCACATGTTCTAATGTTTGTTTAAAAAAAAAAAATTAAGCTAGCTTCCAAGTATTATTGCATTAACACTAAACACCCTACAACAAAGTATTAGAACGTGTATAGTTCAAATACATGAGTACATAAGTATGTTTTACATACACATGTAAATATGAAAATAAAAATAGTGTCCTAAGTCCTGAAGTATTAACTCTTTATCATAGGCTTATACATAGTAAAACAGGGAGAAACTAATATGTTCGTTTGTGCCTAGACTTATATAATTTTTATTTATTAAATATGTAATTTTATAGTATCATGTTTTACATTGTGTGTTATATTTCTAATAAAATTTTTATATCAGTACTAATATTTTAAAAATTCAAACAGCTCCTAGTAAGTTACATATTACTATATTAAGGCTACAATATGTTGAATGCATTTTTATAATAATAATCTCATTGCCTCCGTTTTTATAGAAAGTTAATTACAAATTTTCTTTATAGATTCATATTTCACATAAGTCACCTTTAGTTATCTGTTTAAGATATTTTATATATGATTATTATTACCTAAACATAAATTACACTGACTTTTCTTAGATGAAAGAATGGTTTGATATTAAGGTCAAAACAAGTTTAAAACAATACATATGCATAGTAAATAAATTTTCATTTCCATTTTCTTTGAGAATTTCTTACAATTTGTTATCTTTGTGACAAATGAAATGATTTGTAATGATTTATTAATGAATAACTATCTTTACCACTTTTGTTTAAAAAATACAAGACTTTTTTTTATACATACATACATAGGCGCAAGTTATACGCAAGTACACACATATATACATATGCAATCATACATATACAGATGCACTTACATAATTTTTATATCAGAAAGCCTATTACATGTATAAAATATACTTGTCATGTACACGCATACATGCGAGCTTCCTCGTGTTATTTGAATACACATGTAATTTTGCTCGTGTACGCAAATTTGCATGTATGTGTATTGTACAACAGCTTTAATGTATAAATACAGCGAAGTATTTATATTTTTGCATATTCATTCATTAAGCAAGTAGGCTTTCTTACATAAAAATGTAATTACACTGCTCCTTATATTCAAAAAACAAAAATTTTTGCCAAAGAACAATTGCCAGACTATAAGGATGGATTATAACACCGATGCAAAATATCAATTTTCAACCTTAAAATACACGAAACATGTAAAATATGTTTTGACTTAAAGTAGTTTAAAAGACTGACAATTTGATATAAGAAGTATTTTCGTATTTAAATGTAACAAATTTGTATTATTTACTAAATATGCCAAATATATACCTACAGAATGTAATGAAATAAGATAAATATGAATGCATACTTACTTATATACAAAATAAAGATGACCAATTGAAAATAATATGGCGCCCGTGTAATTACCCACCCTATATCAGTCCTTTAACTCCATATTTTGAAATCAATAAAGTGCGTTACTTCAGTCATCAAGATTTTGTGAAAGCAAAAAATTTGCAGCTAAGTTTTCATTTTTTTCACACGCAAAATATGCTTGTACAACTAAGTGTTCTGGAAATCCTAGAGCTTTCAGCCTTTCAATAGCTTCTTTATCTTGAGGTGTTACCTGAATTATGGAAGTTTCTACGTCAGATCCTGTTCCCATACCTGCAGCAGGAGCACCACTTAAACCACCGGGAGCGGTAGCTGGCGCAACATTCGATGCAGATACAGGTGTAGTTCTTCCACCTGTACTACCAGTTGTTTCTACTACTCCAAAATAAAAGATATAAAACACATTAAATTATAAATATATGATTTAGTACATTATCTCTGTTTTAATAAATAATAAAACTCACCAGGTTCGTTAAGCATGCGCACAAATGCTTCTTGATTTTGTGAAATAAGTTGCAACAATGCAGGATTAGTTTGGCCAATCTGTTGAAGTACAGCATTCAATAATTGTGGATTTTGCTGAATAACTTGACGCATTTGTTGAAATTGAGGTTGCATTCGCAAAAATGCTAGTGGATGTTGGCCATGTTCTTGGAATTGTTCTTGTGCTTCGAGTTGATCTTCTGGTAAATCCTCAAATAGCTGAGCGGGTATACCCGTTACAAGGTATTCAACAGCTCTATCAGGATTATTGAAACTTGCTCTTAATGCTTGCTCGACCTGCTCGCGTTCATACCTAATATAAAGCACATGATGAGTAATGAATAACTAAAGAAAAATAAAATAAAATAAATAGAACTTTTTTTTATAGATTTACCCCATATCCATGATGTTGTTCACCATGGTATTATAATCTTCACCCATTAACAAGGCACTTTCAGCTTGACCTCCTGCACATCCAGTTGCAGTACTTGCTCCAGATTGTTCTTGTACAGTACTAGCAGGGTTTGATGCACCCTGGACAGTTGGGTTTGAACTAGGTTGCGGTACTGAGCTATGACAAAAAGCATAGATCAATAATATGCTCTGATGTAATCAAAATAAATGTATAATTTATATTCAATATTCTTTTCACCGATAAATTTAAAATATTGACAGCATTTTTTAAATTAAAACTGAAGAATTTATCTCAATTTAAATTTGAAAAAAAGAAGTTTAATATCTAGAATGAGTACCTGGTTGTACTACTTTCTTCTTTAGTTTCTACAGTACTTGTATGTTCCTCTTCAGCTGCTGTATGACCATTACCAGTTTTAAGCTTTGTAACCATAACAACTATGAATTTTTTTTCATCTATATTATATTCTGCTAGTGGATGATCATCTGTTAATATCTTTCCTGTAAAAATAGCACACTGTTATAGCTATAAACTGTGAATCATTGTCACATAAAAACAATAATAAATTTATGAAAAATATAAATAACCTTTATATATTACAATATTGGAAATTATTTTCTTAAAACAACGATTATACAGTTAAAGAAAATTATGCAATTCATATTCACAAAAACATTAATAGATTTATAATTAAGTGCAAAATGAGGTTATGTAATTTATATAGCTTACCAGCGTATATTAATTTCTGATGTTCAGCAGGAAAACCCTTTTGGGTTTCAATCTTTTGTTTCAAGTCTTTTACCTACAAAGAAATATTATTAGAATATACCACAATTTAGAAAGTCACATATTTTACATTTTCTATGTTCACCCACCGTTTGCGATGGATCAATTTCCACTGTAAATGTTTGCTGCTGTAAGTTTTTCAGCGTTATAATCATGTTGAAAGATAAAAAAATTAGTAATAGCCTGTCAGTTGACAAAGAAAACTTTGAAAGATCTACTGTAAGAAGGATATAGCGACGTTTAGTAAAGATCTTTTATGCGATGAGTCGGCACTGCTTAAAAGCAACTTACAAATGCTTAACTCGTGGTAGTATGCAGCTAAAAACATATGATGACATAAAGCAGTATTTTCAATGACGAACAATTCAGCACATAAGGTACGTACTAAAATCAGTCTATGTTAGTTTAAATTATCATATACTGTAATATACATACACGCGCCCGCGCGCACACACGACACCACAATAAACGCATCCAAATTTGAAACGAGGAGATATTTTTTATATTTAACATATTTATTAGTAATGAATATTGAACGTACATAAAATCACATTTGATTTAATGTTGATGACAAAACAAAAGCAAGAAATTGTAAATAATTAAGAATAATAAATGTATAGTAAAATGTAAATTTACAAATGCATAATTATAGCAATAAATATTATGTGATTATTTATTCATATATTTATACATTCAGATGTGACTAGAACAAAATTAGATATTTTGTATTTATTAAACTATCATTTCAAATACTATATAATGATACATTATACATATACTTAATGAAATTTAATAATGTATTAAGATACACAAAAATCATTACTCTCTGTGTAATTTTATACTATCAAAATTGATTTAATCTGAAGCAATTATAAATTTTTCTTCATTGCATTTTCAAATTACTTTATAATTTATATTAGATGAAATGTCTGTTTTGAGTATCTCAATACATTTACATATAAAATATATATATTTGTAACTAAACATCCATTGGTAATTAATGATCTAACTGTAATATAATTATATATTTTTTATTCTGCATGAATAGTATATAATTACACACTAGCTTCTTTTTTATATAAGAGTATATAACAATAAGAAATAAGATAATGTTCCTGGCATCATAATACTCAATATACAAGTGCCTCAAAACCTGTACTGAAATATCTATTTAAAAAAACATAAAATTTGTATCATTAAATAAATTTTTGAAGATAAAACAATTTTATCTAATTATCTATTTTATTACCAATTTTGCCTACACATATATTATAGAAGTTAAAATAAAGTACATTATATTAACACTTACAAATTAAATGCAGAATATCCACAATGTTCTTCAATACATATAATAACTGTGCAATTATTCTTGGTACGGTGTTGTTGGACTCACATTGATCATCTCTGTTGCACTACAAAAAATATAACAAAATTATATAACCTCTCTAGGAAGATAGTTTTAATAATAAATTTATAATGTTAAACAATAAAATAATTCAACTGCAAGCTTACTGTTTATAAAAAATGCGAAATAAATATATTCATCTAATGCAAATAAAATCGTTTTAATTAATTTCTAACAAAACATTTGAAATTATATAATGAATATCCTACATCTTATCTCCTATTTAATTACATACTAACATATTACCATTCATTTCTAAATGTGATGCAGTTAAACTTATATGGATATTCAGTATATAGATAAAAGTTTAATTCTTTTGAATTAATTGGAACATGTAGAAAGGATTGCATACAAAAAATTATATGTTATATGAAAAATTTCATTATATAATTTTTATATCATATTATTTCCAAACGATATAATTACTGAATATGACATGTGATGTATAAAGCAGATTTATGAAGCAAATACAATACGAAAAAGAAAAAATAAACCCTGAGAATTATTAGCAAATATGAATCATTCATAAGTATTATGAAATGTACACAAGAACAGAAAAATATTTTAATGTTACATAATTAAAAAGTTGTAAATAAAAAATAAATATAATATAAAGCTACATGCATATAACTAAAAAGTACATTCCCAAAATATAAATTAAGTACAAAAATTATTTATGAAAAATATAATAAAACAATATAAAATTCTATAAAACGTTTATAAAGTCATGTCACATATAAAATAATCACTATCGTTAACGTTCTTGCAGGGTAGACATAACACAATATCACAAACACTTACAAGAACAATTATGGTGCCCTAAGCATACTTTGTTGCAGTCATCTTTACATTAGTTTGCTGTATAACATACATTACATAAGAATTTATTGTCAAATTTGGGTTTAAAACATATTTTATGAACATTAGTTCAAAAGGTAAAATATGTATGAAGAAAACGTATTTAAAAATATTTTTAGTATTTTTAATTTATACTAAATATTCTAAAAATTAGAATTATTTGAAGTTTTAAATATTACAATTAATAAAAATGGTACAATTTTTCACAAGTGTTAAGAAGATATTATATTATAACTTTAAAATGCATTTACTATCAACTATATTTCTCAATTATTTTTATAAAATAGATATAATGTACAATCAAATAAAAGTATTATTTATTAATTCGATTGTTAATTTTTTTTCTTAATTTTTTCATTCAAAGATTGATAGTAAATGCAATGTGATGAATGTAGGTGATAAAAATTGTATTTACTTTTCTATTTATATCATCACACTTTTAATTTAAAAAGATTATGACTTTTAAAGCAATTGCATTTTTTTAATTCTTTTGATTAAAGCCTTATTTAAGCGTAACACCATTTAGTGAGAAATAAGAAGAAAAATTTAGTACATTAAGCTGATCTTTACCTTTTGGAACATTTGATGTGTATTATTAGTAGTGTAATGCCTAACAATAAACAGACACATCCTACTACTATATAAGCTATACCAAGAAAAGGATTTTTTCCACCAAGAAGAGATGTAGTACTTAAGATCATTCTTTTCCTGCCCTCAAAAGCAGACACAGAATATGCTACAAAAATACAATATTGATTGATTAAGATACTCTCTGATAGTAGATAAAATAATTAGTAACTTCTGATATTAATGTTTACTTACAATATGTAACAGTAAGTCGATAGTTTCCTTCTACCAGACCTTCAGTAAACCCATTTTCAGTATGATTAACCCTACGATAAAGTTTTCTAAAAGTTGGTAATGCAGCAGTTCTCATCCAAACAATTAAATCTTCATTTTGGAAACCATTATTACTTTCATTTTCTTTATCTAAATCATAAATGTATTTAGTCCAATTCTTTGGTTTTGCAAAGTTCTTGAATGCTTCTCTTAAATCACCATCAGGATTTCTAAATTTAATATTCTTATCCGAAGGCCAAGCTATTCCAGTTTTTAATAATGGTACAGATTTATTATGTTTCATTGAAAATAGTTCTAGTTTGTCACTGAATAATGAATTAGCAATAGCACCACAGGGTGCGATAGGCTTGTCACCGTCATAAGCAAACGGTTCACAGTCACCAGAGACAATATCGCTTAATTTTCCTAATAACTGATTATCATCGCGTGATTTTACATACCGTCTGTGATTCTGATAAAAATTAGTCAGACCATAATACATGTAAATTTTTCCATTAAAATCAGAGGGTAATGTAAAATTTATTTCACAATAACAAGGTTCTGAACGATTTTTTGCTATAACTTCTGCACATTTATAAGGCACACCATTTGCATAATGAAAGTTGGTAGCATTACAGTCCGTATAATCTATAATATATTCTTTGACTTGATCAGAAAAATAAAGTAATCCAACTCCAACTGGTATAAAAGCAATCCCAATTACAAAAAATGTTGGCAAAACAGTTCCAGCAGTAAGTATTGGTTGCCAAGCAGGTAAACGCTGCTGTTTGAATGCACTATCTGTTCAAATAAAACATTATTTAAAAAAATATATTAGCTAATTACAATTATTTTATAATACTCCAAAATTAAATATATGTTATCAATATTAATAAATAACAGAATAGAAATTAAATAAATTTTAAAGGATACTTGTATCTAAAATAACATATAGATAATAATATATTTTCTTTTATTGACAACATATTAAATATTGCACAATGATTTAAGATAAAATCGAAGTCTCTTATTTTTTGTATTAAATTAAATTTTTCATATAATTTTGATACATACATCAAATAAAACATAACATAACCAAATGATAAATTAACTGTAATACAATAAACTTACCGGATGGTTTTTTCGTTTTAGGTAACGAACTACCTTCACTAACAGAAGTCATGCTACCTTTGTAGAATATTTATTTACTCTTTCAATAAATTTTAATAACTTGACACGGTCATTTGTAATAATTATCAATCTAACAACTATGTTTGTCAAGAACCATGGAACATAAAACGGGGGAATAAGAGACGAAAAAGTGTATATATATAGGCTGTATAAAAAAGTAAATGTAGTCACTTCAAATTAAATGTCATTGATTAAGTTACATTTATTATTTGCACAGAATAATTTTTTAAATAAATAACTATAAATTGTACGATAAATATATTTTAGCCTTTCATACTATATCACTGAAATTAACCTCATAAGTGTAGTAAATATAACAGTTTTTTACATTCATCTATGGGAAGGTGATGTTTTACATATAAAAACATTTATAATAATCAATTAATAACTATATATATCTTACACAAGTATGGGATTTAAAAATATTATACAAAATATACGTAACAAACATTGTAATTTATCAGTATTACTATACAGAAATAACTTTCCAAAATTTAAACAGAATCTAAGGTATTTTTGTGATACAACAAACTCACCAAAAGAAGGTGTTTGTAATGTGGGTACAATAGGACATGTAGACCATGGCAAAACAACATTGACATCTGCAATAACAAAATATTTATCAGAAGTAAATAAAAACTGTAAATATGTAACATTCGATGAAATTGATAAAGCACCTGAAGAGAAGCAACGTGGTATAACAATAAATATTGCTCATGTTGGATATGCCACTAGTAAAAGGCAATATGCGCATACAGATTGTCCAGGACATGCTGATTTCATAAAAAATATGATTAGTGGAGCATCGCAAATGGATGGTGCAATTTTGGTAGTTGCAGCTGACGATGGTCCTATGCCTCAAACAAAAGAGCATTTATTGCTTGTTCATCAACTGGGAATTAAACACATTGTTATATATATTAACAAGGTTGATATTTATTTCAAACATTTCAAGTATACGCATAATATAATATTTTCTACTATATAACAAAGATATTTGTTTATACGTAGTATGTAACTTTTAGGCTGACATATCAGACAAGGATATTATAGAATTAGTGGAAATAGAAATGAGAGAATTATTAGATGGATATGGTTTTGATAGTTCAAAAACTCCAATAATTATTGGTTCTGCTCTACTTGCATTAAATGGAGACACTTCAGAATATGGATTACCTTCTATAAAATCATTATTAGATGCTTTAGATAATTATGTAGCAACTCCAGAAAGAGATTATACCTCTCCTTTTATATTACCTATTGATAATGTTTTTAGTATACCAGGCAGAGGTACAGTAACAGTAGGAACAATAAAACAAGGTGTTATAAAAAAAGGCATAAAAGCAAATCTAATGGGATTTGATGAAAAGATGAATACTATTATTTCAGACATTCAGGTAAAACTATAATTATTCCATTTTATTTTTATATAATACTATAAAAGTTCATTAAATGTAACTTCAAATTATATATTTACATTAGATTTTTAGAAAAAGTGTGACAACAGCATCTGCTGGTGAAAATGTAGGTGTTTTGTTAAGAGCTATTAAATTAAATTCTGTGCGTAGAGGAATGATATTGTGTCAAACAAATTTTTTGAAATTAACTAACCATTATGAAGCTCAATTATATTTATTGAGTCCTCAAGAAGGCGGCCGTGAAAGACCGTTAAAGGTACTTTTACCGGTATTAATTAATATAAACTTTATTTTTATTGTAATAGCTTATATTGATTAATATTATATTTATAGAAATCAGGATTTAGTGCAAAAGTTTATAGCTCAACATGGAATGTTTACTGTCGTTTTGATTTTCTTTTGCCACCAGAAAATAAAATGTTAATGCCAGGAGAATTTGCAACATGTAGATTAATATTTACATATAATATGCCAATGATAGATGGTCAAGTTTTCACCGTTCGTGAAGAAACACGTACAATTGGCACAGGAAAGATTACTAGAATTTTGAATGAAATTCCACTTTCCCAAAAAATATTTAGTAAGGTAGTGATTAAGGATTTTGTAAATTAAACTTTGCAATAATTACATTATTGCACGATTTAAAAGGAAAATAAATGATGCAGATTTGAAAAAGTTTTACGATTTTATTACTCAGTTTCTTCCGAAGCTCCTCCCGCTTCTGCTATGTTCGAAAATTGTTACAGGAGAAGCAACTGTTTAAATACCAAAATTGTGTGTATTTTACCTTTGTTAACAATTAACATGTAAGGTAATTAAGCGTTTGTATAAGACTATCGTGATTTAATATTCAAATGTGGAATTCTTTGTAATGATACTTATAACGTGCAAGTGACATACATTAAAACTTCTTATAACAATGAATATCATTTGCACATATATCTCTTGCATAGCAGAGAATTATTACTTAATTGATACTGACACTTTAGCCTGAGAAAGACGCAAGGAAGTCAGTAACGATCTGCTTTAATTTCGCATCAGAGGCTTCGCTAATGGTATTTTCCTTAGCAATGGTACTAAGAAGGTCTTGTTGAGTAGCTCTGAAGGATAAAAACGTAAAATTAAACAAACACTTATACTATAATATAAATAAATATAACTACTACAATTATTTCAAAATAAATACCTAATATGGGCAAGAAATTCTTTTTCAAAGGCAGTAATTTTTGTAGGTTCCATTTTATCAAGATACCCACGGACACCACAGTAGATTACGGCTACTTGTTCTTCAATAGCCATTGGTACTATAAATATTAAAATTATATATATTTTAGATGGTACTAATTTGACAATTTTTTGTAATTTCAATTTATTACGTATATATTACCATATTGTCCTTGTTTCAAAAGTTCTGTTAACCTGACACCGCGATTTAATAGCTGTTGAGTAGCAGCATCCAGATCGGAGCCAAACTGTGCGAAAGCTGCTACTTCACGATACTGAGCCAATTCCAATTTCATAGAACCAGCAACCTGTAAAACGAGATATCAAAATTATTAAAAATGTGTTTAAATAAGTTTATGAATAAATAAGAATGTATATTACCTGTTTCATAGCTTTTGTTTGGGCAGCAGATCCAACCCGGGATACTGACAAACCGACATTAATTGCAGGACGAATACCCTTGTAAAACAATTCTGTTTCTAAGAAAATCTGACCATCGGTAATGGAAATAACATTAGTAGGAATATAAGCAGACACGTCACCAGCCTGTGTCTCAATAACGGGCAAAGCTGTTAGCGAACCACCTCCCAAACTTTCATTCATTTTAGCTGCTCGTTCAAGAAGACGAGAGTGGAGGTAAAATACATCACCGGGATAAGCTTCACGACCTGGTGGTCGTCTTAACAATAAAGACATCTGTCGGTAGGCAACAGCTTGTTTCGATAAGTCATCATATATAATTAAAGCGTGTTTTCCATTGTCCCTATAAAAGAAAAATATTCAGAATTATGGATACATTATTTTTTTTGTTAATTTAAGAAAATTATTTCGCACAAAATAATACCTAAAGAATTCTCCCATCGCACAACCAGAGTATGGGGCCAAATACTGAAGAGGCGCAGCATCGGATGCAGTTGCCGAAACAATGATAGTATAATTCATAGCTCCAGAATCTGTCAAACGTTTTACAATTTGTGCAACTGTAGATCTCTTTTGACCAATGGCAACATATATACAATACAGTTTCTTTTTTTCATCTCCAGCCTCATTAAATCGTTTCTGATTAATAATCGTATCAATAGCAAGAGCAGTTTTGCCAGTTTGCCTGTCTCCAATAATCAATTCACGCTGTCCACGACCGATAGGTACTAGCGAATCTACAGCTTTAATTCCAGTTTGCATAGGTTCTCTGACGGACGTCCTATAAAACAGAATACACAAAGGAATGTATTTAATTTTTCTCATTCTTACGAAATAACGTTTGCATATAAAAAATAAATACCTAGGAATAATGCCAGGTGCTTTAGTACCAATACGGAATCTCAGTTTACTGTTAAGCGGTCCTTTACCATCAATGGGGTTACCTAATGCATCTACAACACGTCCTAACAATTCATCACCAACCGGAACATCAACAATAGCTCCAGTACGCTTAACAATATCTCCTTCTTTGATGTGTCTATCATTACCAAATACGACAACACCTACATTGTCAGGTTCCAAGTTCAGAGCCATACCCTTTAACCCCGAACTAAACTCTACCATCTCATCTGCTTGAATGTTCTTCAGCCCATAAACACGGGCAATACCATCACCAATGCTAAGCACCCTACCAGTTTCTTCCAAATTGGTCTAAAATTGTATTAAAAAATATATAAGAAATTAAAAAACAACAAAATATCGTTAAATAATCTAACTTATAATTAAAATTTCTTAGCTTACCTTTGGGGCTGAACCAAGAATACGATCTTCCAAGATGGAAGAAATTTCAGCAGAACGCCGACTGCAAGATACATGATATTTACAGGAAGCTACACTCAGAGGCCATTTCACCTGTAAGATATAATTCAAATTTATTGTTATTATATTATGGAAACAATGCCACTCAAATACATATTACATAACTTGGTACTCTTCAGTTTATGTAATACACTGCATTAAAGAAATTGTTTGACACATATTCTACTTATAATAAAATATAAATAAAAACTATAATTCATTAACGATTTCTGATTTCACTAGAGATAAAAATTAATTAACACATGCATCTGAGCGGTTGTCGCAAAGTGGAAAATGTCGGCATGTCCTAGATAAATGTCTTAAAACGGTTAAATTATCGGAAAGAAACTCTTTTCTTTTTAAATTACCTGAATGGTAGAATTCGGTAGTTGTCTCGCAATCGAGGAAGCTAAACGTAGAGACAGAAGAGCCATTTTGGTATGTTAGAAGCCCGTCAAAGGGACTACAAATTCACAGACGACGAATGATCAAGACAGGGACGAGCAGAAGAACGTCCCGTACAACCCCACTCTGACAATCATACCGGCAGGAAGTCGATATGCATTGACCTGCGCTGTAACCTCGAATCCAGATATATAAAGTAATTAATAAACTACTTTATTTTATGTTTAATATTTCACCAGAAATACTTTAGAGAAATATATATTTCAAATAAGTTTTTTAAAGCAAACCAATGTAATTAATTATTCTTATAACATGACAATTTTAACATAGCAGATTTTGGGTACGAGGTTATAAGCAATTACGTAATTTTCAATAATAAGTTGGCGCCAAACTTAGATTTAAAAGCTATATTCTACAATAATCGTACTAATATGAATACAATTTTATATTAAAATAATAACTTTGTTTAATTATAAATATCTAACTAATATTTATAATTATAAATGATGGTTTATTGTACGATATAAATTTATAACTTCAGAAGATTTTGTATTATTAGAATAACAGTATTTTAAGAATCTAACATTCCATATTTCAATAGTAAATTTTACTGATAATAATTATTAGCGCAAAAAAATATGGCAATGATTTCAATGATTTTATTATTTTTCCTAACCATCATATTCAGGTTAAGTTAGTCGAATGCGAAAGCATCATTGCACCGACGCTGAGATTTTGTTATTGTCGTATTGTATTGATTATTGGTTCTAACTGTGTTAAAGAAATTATAATATTGATTCCATGTAAAAACAAATGATTAATCAACAGACGAGGAGTAAAATAAGTCTAGAAAATTCATTTATGCAGGAATACATTGATAATTTTATTAATTACTATAAATACTTCCATGTTACCTTTATCTTACAAACGGCAAGTGACAAAATCGGTATTTCATTGTTTACGTTTGTATTCAGCAATGTATGAATCATTTTAATTAATAAATATATTTAAAGTGAATAAAAATTCATTTATGGTAACAATTGTACAAAAATGACATTATATACAATGAACCCACTTGCTTTCTGTTAACTGTGTTGTGTGTACATACAAATAAAATTATGGATTCTGTTACTGAATCAGAACATATAGAAAAATTAGCAAAAGAAGCTGAAAGTTTAAAAATACGTTTAGAAGATGAGAGACAAAAATTAAACGATATTACCCGTAAGTAGCATAGTTTTTAATCAAGTTTAATCATTTCATCATAATTCTACCATATTTCTAATAAATTAATATTATTATTTCTTCAGTTGCTAGTGTAGCAGATAGACTTGAAGCAATAAATTACATTAATGTGAAACCACGTCGTGTTTTAAAAGGTCATCAGGCAAAAGTCCTTTGTTCTGATTGGTCACCTGATAAACGTCATATTGTTTCTTCTTCACAGGTCAGGATATGCTCTAAATTTCTTATATAAATCTTCAAACTAGTTTTTGACATGAAAATTTTTCTAGGATGGTAAAATGATTATATGGGATGCTTTTACAACAAATAAAGAACATGCTCTTACTATGCCAACCATTTGGGTAATGGCATGCGCTTATGGTCCAAGTGGTACTCTTGTTGCTTGCGGGTATAAAATATATATATATACATTATGAATGAATGATTGAATTAATTAGTACATTATATTCATTTTTTGCAGAGGATTAGATAATAAAGTTACTGTATATCCCTTAAGTCAAGAAGATGATGTATCAACTCGTAAAAAAACTGTTGCAACACATACATCCTATATGTCTTGTTGTGTATTTCCTAACAGTGATCAACAAATTTTAACGGGTAGCGGAGACAGCACGTGTGCTTTATGGGATGTAGAAAGCGGTCAGCTATTACAAAGCTTTCTTGGTCATTCCAGTGATGTTATGTCTATTGACTTATCGCCAAGTGAAACTGGTAATACATTTGTATCTGGAAGTTGTGATAAAATGGTTTTAATATGGGACATGCGCACTGGTCAATGTGTTCAAAGTTTTGAAGGTCATCAATCTGATGTTAACTCTGTATGTAGAAGTTTGTCATATCTATTATTTATTTTTAAAAAATGATTTATATTATGTTGTATTGAATTTAGGTAAAATTTCACCCGGGTGGCGATGCAGTTGCAACGGGTTCAGATGATGCTACTTGTCGCCTTTTTGATTTACGCGCAGATCGAGAAATAGCTGTTTATACGAAAGAAAGCATAATCTTTGGAGCAAATGCTGTTGATTTCAGCGTTAGCGGGCGTCTACTATTTGCTGGTTATAATGATTATACTGTAAATATATGGGATACTCTAAAATGTCAACGAGTTGCGTTTTTGTATGGACATGAAAATCGTGTATCATGTTTACGAGTTTCTCCGGATGGAACTGCTCTTTCTACCGGAAGCTGGGATTCAACGCTACGAGTTTGGGCTTAATTTTAATGAAATTGCATCTATCATCTGCTATTGTTAGATTAAATTTAAAAATCTTTTTATTCAATACTCAAAATCAAGACACTACGATGTTATAAAATATTATGATGTTACACTTTTCTTGTAATTAGTGTACTCCAAAAGTATAATACATTGTACTATAAGAATATTATAATCAAAAAAGAAAACTAGAAATGTAAACAGAAGTAGGAACTAAGTAAAATTAGAAATCGTAACTTATTGTTACGATTATAAAATGTGATAGCTTGAAATTAATCATTATTAGGCTGGACCTAATTAATAACAAATTATGTAAACAATATATCTATTTAATGAAACACAGTATTATCTTATATGAAACTTAATAAAAAATTAGTTCGTGCAATTTTGTATGATTAATAATTTTTAATTTTTTTTATGCATTCTTTAAAATATATTCGAAACAAAGTTGTAATTTAAAATTCGTTTCAATCGGCTAGCCACCTATCAGTTTTCAGCGACAAATTCTATACTCTATAATCTAACTATCGAAAATGTATAAGTATACATACGTATGGTTTAAGTATACCGCAGTTCACCAGAGTCCATAACTGCGACGCGCAGGTGAGAAAATGGTGAGGGAACGCAGCGAGCTCTCTGCTAATCGCTTTCCACTTCGTTTGGGAGTATCGCCAATCAGGGCGAAGATGCGCACTGGAGATGCGCGAAGAATGAAAACTGGTCTTTTCGCAGTTATGGACTCTGGTGAACTGCGGTATAAGTACTTACATTTACTTTACTTTACTTTAATTTTCCCCGGTGCGGAAAAAAACGATGCATTTTATATCCCGTTTCCTTCGGGCGGCGTACTTTGGGGACTTTTACTGTCCCCTTTTGCCCAACGAACATTTTCGGCCACGCGCGCCTTTTTTCAAATCTCATTCCCTTTTGCATTTTACATTGTTTCATACATTTGCCATACTTTTGCTTCTGTTTTTTTGCCATACTTTTACAATTTTTTGCTTGAGTCTCTGTGTGTGTGTGTGTCCCCTTTTAGTCGCCTCTTACGACAGGCAGGGGATACCGTGGCCGTATTCTAATCCCCCCGAGCCACAGGGGTCTACTTACATTTACGCAATAATACTAGCACATTCCTAAAGCTCCGTTCACGCGATAGTGTAATAGTTCGATATTTAAGGCTGTTTTATAATATCATCATAATGAAATATATTTAGGTTAATATTTAAAATAATAACGATTTATGTTTTTGTATTTTAAAATGTGAACATGAATTTTAATTTTTAGTTGTTTTCAAATTGACCAATCAAATACATGATTCAGATACAGTTGCATATCTGTAACTATTTACATACATTGTGACTGTTCACATACTCAGAAAGGGGAGAAGGGTAGCTCTTTTCGTTCGATGCTTTGTTGGATGTGGACTACAAGTTGATATCCATTTTAATCTAACGCGTAAAAATTTGTAATATAATTAAAATATGACTGAAACACTTCAATTAAGGGGTACACTTCGGGGACACAATGGATGGGTCACCCAAATTGCCACAAATCCAAAATATCCTGACATGATATTGTCTTCTTCACGTGGTAAGCATAGTAACATATACTCACCTTATTTAATATTTGTTCTCTAAAAATATTGAAGCTATAATACCTAAACATTATAAAATTAATAACTTTCCTTTTTCTTTTACCAAAATCGAGTATATTTCTTAAACTACCTTTTATGTATTCGCATATTGTTTTACTTACTTGGCCACCAATTGTCTTCAAGTTGTTTAGTTGTTTATGGTTTGCTAAAATGATAATCCATAAGCTATATAATATATTTTGTATTGCTCGCTTCAATTTTACATAATGCATTAATCTCATAATGTTGTAAATTATTTTTGTAGATAAGACACTAATAGTATGGAAGTTAACACGTGATGAAGCCAACTACGGTATTCCTCAGAAACGCTTGTATGGTCACTCTCACTATATTAGTGATGTAGTATTATCATCCGATGGAAATTATGCTCTGTCCGGTTCGTGGGACAAAACACTTCGTCTTTGGGACTTGGCTGCAGGACGTACCACAAGAAGATTCGAAGATCATACCAAGGTGTGACATCTTCCTTCTGATCTACGGTCGCCATTCTTCATGAAATATACGGAAGCTTTTTTTTTTACCTTTTTTTTTTGAATGCCATTGGCAGAAGATAAAACTACGTGAGTGACAGGAAATATACGGAAGCTTTTTTTTATATATTTTTTTTTATATTTAATAAATAGAAGAGGTGGGCAATTATATCCGTGATATTGTAAGTATTGATCACAGGTGGTATGTGCACTGGTCTTGAATAAATCCATTCTTACTAACTTGTATTAAACCAAATTACACGGTCATATGTTAACAGGATGTTTTAAGCGTTGCCTTCTCGGTGGATAATCGTCAGATTGTCTCTGGTTCTCGAGACAAGACGATTAAACTGTGGAACACCTTGGCAGAGTGTAAATACACTATTCAAGATGATGGGCATACAGATTGGGTCAGCTGTGTACGTTTCTCTCCAAATCATTCAAATCCTATTATTGTTTCCGCGGGCTGGGATAAGTTGGTTAAGGTATGTTTATTACTTAATGGAAACATTACTTTTTCTTTTTTATAGTGATCTTATGATGTAATTTTGTTATTTAACATGATGTTTATGAATGTTTGCGGATATGGGACTGAAGTACAAAATCATAAATCATTTATTATAATTCCCAGCTGTTTTTACTTTAATTAGCAAAATATTTTGTAGGTGTGGAATTTGACTAACTGTAAACTGAAGATCAACCACAGTGGACACACTGGATATCTTAATACAGTTACAGTGTCTCCTGATGGTTCACTTTGTGCTTCTGGTGGCAAGGTATGTAATAAGAAAAGCTCTTATTACTTATAATTTTAGATATTTAAAGCTATTTAAAATATTTACTAACAATATTTTCTTTAAAATGTAGGATTGCAAAGCCATGTTGTGGGATTTGAATGATGGAAAACATTTACACACCTTGGACCATAACGATATCATAACAGCTTTGTGCTTCAGTCCTAATCGTTACTGGCTCTGCGCTGCGTTTGGACCGTGGATCAAGATATGGGATCTTGAAACCAAAGAAATGGTTGAAGAATTGAAACCAGAAGTAGTGTCTGCGACGAGTAAAGCAGAACCTCCTCATTGTTTATCTTTAGCGTGGTCTACTGATGGACAAACACTTTTCGCTGGTTATTCCGACAATACTATTCGTGTCTGGCAAGTTTCTGTATCTAGCCATTAAGCACTTTGTATAAAAGTAAAATAATAAAAAATGGAAAACGATTAAACATGTATTTATTTACATCAAGATTATACGATACGATATACTAAACGATACTCAGGTCTACTTTTTCTCATTAGTTTCAGATTTTTTAAGTTTTGTCTCAAATTGTTCAAATTCTGTCTTAGCTATTTGATCAGTTTCATCTTCTACCTGTATTACACCAAGAACCTCTGGAATATAAAATTGCATCATATTTTGCACTCCGTTCCTTAAAGTAACTACAGAACTTGGACAACCCGTGCAAGAGCCTTGCATCTTTAGTTTCACTATGCCTTCTTCAAAACCCTTGAATCAGATGTAAATTAAATTAAATTAAATATATTGATTTTACAGCTAATTTGGAATATGGGTACACTTACCACAAATACAATATCACCTCCATCTTCCTGCACTGTTGGTCGTATTCGTGTGTCTAATAGTTCCTTTATCATTTGAACTATTTCACTATCATCCTCGCTAATCTCTGTAATAAATAAAGGATTACCGCTACAGTTATATGATATGATAAAGAAACGTTGATTTCTAAATCTATGTAAATTAGTAAAGTTGAAAGAACTCAACGAGTATCTGTGGCAGGCTGCTCATCGTTTAACACAGGCAAGCCAGATGCAAAGAAATCCATAATAACTGCAAATACTTCTGGCTTCAATAATTTCCATTCAACGTCTTCATCTACTTTTGTTACCGTAATAAAGTCAGGCCCAAAAAATATAGACTTCACACCTTCGATACGGAATAACATTTTCGCAAGTGGTGAACAGTAGGCATCGGAAACATTAGGAAAATCCTTAGTCTGACCTGATTCAAGCACCTTAACTCCAGGTAAAAACTTTAAACTATTGGGATTTGGTGTGTCTTGTGTTTGAATAAACATTTGACGTTTTTGTATGACATTCAATTTTGGGATGGAAGTAAACAAACATGGCTTTACCATGTGATTATTATAATTTGTATACATACGGACAGTACAATCTTTCAACGTTCTGTAATGTAGTAATATTATGGTAATTAAAATTTGTATATAATAAATGCAGTTGTATTTATTTGGTTATATTTTATATTTGCAGTTTCCCAAATTTGCTTAGCTTACTTTGAAAATTGAAATGCCGCACAGTATCTACATGTTAAACGTCGACTCATGTACAGTGCATTCGTTAAAATTTTATCCATCATTCCTTCATTGATTAGTTTCTGCGTCTAAAAATTATTTATTATCGTATGCGTTCATGTTGCTTTGACTTTAAGGTTATGTTCACCATACATATATAAACATAACTCGTCAGAGATAAGTCGAAGGTGGCTCTCTCTGTTACAGACCTCAAACGAAAAAAAAAGAAAAATAATTAACATGCTGTTAATAACAATAAGGTGTATTTATTATAACATAAAAGATATCAGTATACAACAAACATGGGTGAATGCTTAATCTATTAAAGTATAATATATTTAACTTAACTTCAGGTATATTTGAAAGTAGAAATTAATAAATTGCATATAATTATCAATTTTGCATGGCTCTGAATTAGTTCATTTAAAGCTTAAATAGTATTCACTTAAATAGATTTAAATATCAGATGTGCTCGATTTCCATATGCAATGTACATAAGTACTTAAATACTTTGGTGATAAACTGGTGTTTATACAAAACTTTATAAGAACGTCATATAGAATTGATCAAAATCTATAATTACAAATACTCCAAGTATGTAATGTAAAAGAGTGCGAATAATGACTGTAAGTATATACATGTACATAAATACGAAGCACCGGATTGTGAATCTTTTTGTTTACCAGGTTGCGAAACACACAAGTCTTCGCAATCTTCTTCGTCGCAAATATCACAAAGTGTAGCCTTTCGTGGTTCGTAAAATACTCTTGCTCTTCTTGCTAAATAGATTTAAAAATATACCCAGCCATTAAAGGAACACATATTCTTTTATATGAAAAGTTGAATACTTAATTAACTTACATGAATCATAATAGTCAT